CAACTCTAAAGTGACATGGATTCAACGGACAACGTTAAAATGAATGCATCCAATCTGAACATTTCACAATGGCGGCACATTCATTGCTGATCCGGCGAACACATTGTTCGAGTTGTCTAGGGAACACTTTATCTGAAACTTAAATTAATGCATTTCAATATAACAGACATACACTTTCACAATCACGCACACAACATTATGTTTTTATCAATGCTCGACGGCAATAAATTGTTCTTGCATTACATGCAATCAAACACACAAAATATATTTGGCAATGATTCAACAGCACGTATCATTCAGGATGCTTTCTCTCCTCCACGCTCTCTGAAAATCAAATAAAATGTTGAAAAGCAGCGCAAATGCACATACTGAATTTTAAAAACTCATAAAATTTAATGGAACCGATGAAAATGTCGATGAATATGGAAAAGCGAGAGTGAAACAGACAGCATCCTTCGCTGGTGTGTCGAGTACAGTATGCAAAAGCGTTCAATGTTACGGATGTTTGCCTACAGGTTGAATAGGTTGTAAAATAAATGGAACAAACATATAAAAAAAAACCTTGTAAATAGATCAAGGCAAAAAAGTAACAATAAAAACAAGGCGCTTCAATTGGAGCTTCAGCCAATATATATATACAATAAAAAAACTTTAAATATTTATTTTTTTTCTGCAACACGATGGCGTGGCTCGATTGAAACGAAAGTGGCTAATGCATAAAAAATCCCCCTTTTTTAGTTGCGATGGAGTTATACAAACAACGAACGGGAGAGAGAGAGAGAGAGAGAGAGAGAGAAAGAGAGAAGGGGAAAGGAAAGGGAGAAAGAGAGAAAAAATAGATTTAGACATTAAATATACAAAAAGGCTCATACAATGCGACGACACGCAAATTGTTCGAATAAAAGTTTTCGGCAGGGAAAATTCAGACTTTTGGTATTCAATGCACAGACAGTCTATATCCTAACAATAATATTCATCGTTTTTCTATTGTTGTTGTTGTTGTTGTTTTTGTCTCTGTTTCGGTTTCATCTTTTTTATCGTTAGGCAAATATTGCATAAAAAACAAAGCGAAAACTTTATTCATTGGAATTGCTTTCAAGTTATTTCAACCGCATACAATCCCGAATATAGATGTTTATACATTTTTAATGACTTATATTCTGCCATGAATGAATTAATGCAGCTACACAAAAGAACATTATACACAGTTCGTCTTCAATCTTAAATTCAGTATAGATTAAAGGCAGCTTAGGTCAAACGATTCAATGGAATGGACAAACGATTCAAAAGGACAATGTCAGACCGACTGAAATCTAACTCATGTTTGATGGTCACAAAAATATCACTCCACAAATTCTATTCTCCAACATAATTGACTTGAATAAGAATGGAAAATAGACTGTTCGAATGAACCTTGTGAGCAAAAAAAAATGTAGCAAATATCCTGGATACAAAAGAAAAATTACAACACTGTTTTATATAGGTCACATTTGTTGCACTATGCTTAAAAATCCAGCGAGAAAAAATCGATACAACGGTCGTTCGTTGAGAGTTTCATTCGCACAAAAGACGTAGAGTTCTATCTTCTATTTAAGCAATTTTGACATTATCGCATTTTTTTTTATCGATATGGGACTTCATATCAATTCGCATAAAAATGCCATCGTCATCAATTGTGTGTTTGAATTTTTTTTTTAGCAGAGCACATACTTTCGACGAACGATTCTTTCAACAAAATTGAACTAGTTATAATACGTAGATATGCATTCAATACACCGTTCCCAATTGTACATTTAACGTTATTATAATTCGTTCCAGTTTTCGAATTTCACCGACGAAACCATCGTGGCAATTTCAATGTCTTTCTCTGTTCATCTAAAACATGAATGCATTTACCACAAGGAACTCATTTTGTATTCAATAACAAAAGCACAATTTAAACACATAGTTGGTAGTTAGAGGTTCGTTTATTTTATATTCTTCGTTCACGTGAAGTATTTCGAACAAAATCACAATTGCAAAAGTTTTGTCGCCAACCAACAATGTTTCAATACACGACATTTTCAACGATGAAGATAAAATTCATTCCACCAGACTCAACGGAGCTTTTGCAAATAAATTCACTAATTTAGCGCAAAGTGTACACATGTACCAACGTTGTTTAACTTTTTTCAACATCCTGTTTCATCGATTGTTTTCTTTTTGTCCAAAACTAAAACTGACAGATAAATTTTGGTGTAAGTGGAAAACTTTGTTCTCATTTTATCTTCGGTGTTGTCACAAGTGGATGCATATGTGACAGTCACTGAACAAGATATTGTGTACAATATAAGAGCATGGTAGTATCCGAAGTGAAAAAAATGATTTATATTTTTATGATGATTGGTCAAGGTGGATACTTCATTCGATTGTCGTTTGCTATCGTACGTAATAGACGATTTTTCTTTGTTGTAGGCTACAATCACCAAAATGTATACGATTTTTTAAATTCTTTCGGTAGTTGAACTACAGTGATAGTTTGTATTGTTTGCGGCAAAGAAATGATATGGACAGAATTCTTGTGGTGATGCAATTGACTGACATGAATGGTAAACGGTAAAGATGTCTACCAAATCAAAGCTGACTCAATTTGTTTTATCCCATTCGAATGTATGTGAATTTTAAATGGTGGAGATCCAAGCGCGACCAATTCGTATTTTGCACAATTCATTTGTTTTCCTCTTCTTTTCCCACTCTCTCCTTTCGCTGTCATTTTTTGTGGGTGAATCAAAGCGGAAAAAATCCAACACAAAGCTATAGAGTTACATTTGAACATTTCAAATTCACAATAGGTCATTATTTAAAATCGATGCTGTATGTTGGCAAAACGACAATGCACAATTGCACATGCTATGTGTATTCAAGTATTTTCGAGTGGAATGAATATTGAAATGGTCATTCATGTGAAGAGAAACAGGCCATGATATAAATGAGTTTCCATTGAAATAGTTGGGCATCGTGTCTCTGTTTGTGTGTTAAAACCGATCACCATTACTACCGCAAACATTTCAATGATTCGGCATGCGGCGTTCAAAGTTCAGATGTTCCGTTCGGGATAGCACTGAAAATAAATTGGAGTTTTCCCTCGTCAGTAACGAGTTGTTACAATAATGAACGATGACGTCTCCAGAGAGGTTGTTGAATAGGAAATACTCGTTTATTCTCGATAAATTTCAGACGAACGGTTCGAATCAGATCAATTCAGGTGGAACAAAAAACACAAACATTCCAATTTGGCGAATCCGTTGATCTCGGCGAAAACGATTGCATTCCACTGTGTAAACAATAGAAGGTTGAAATAAAAACAAAACCATTAAATAATAACCATCAAAAGGAAAATAAACACAATCAGGTCACAAGAAGAAAACTCAATCAATCTCGATCCAATGTATCCTGATTCGTCGTGATAGTTTGATTCGCGCGAAAAATTCGGATTCGGAAAACAATTATGGAAACTGTGTGCACAAGCACATAGTAGACCGACAGAAAGATGATACGATTTTTTTTTATTTATATTTGCCTTTGTAACCGCCGATCGACATATTGTCTTCAGGCTAGATACTACAATGTGAATTGACGATGAATATAACATTTTGTTTGGTTTTGAATTGATATTACCGTTATGTTTGTTCTTCTTTCAACCATGAATAATACGCTCGAACAAAAAATACATCTGATTTTGTTCATGGTGGTCGGGAGTGCGCACATTATTCGTTGTGTGAGCGGCGAAATAACCCAACGTTCGCCATTTTTCTATCTCAATCGATATGGAAATGGGTAAAATAAATTCGTTGTTTTTTTATTCGGCTCTGAATGATGTGCATGCGAGTCAACAAATTGAACGCGAGCAGAAGAAAAATATCAAATTTACTTTATCTCCAAAAAAATTCATGTCAAACCCAAAATATTTTGGTTTTGTTTTATTTCTTCATGCGGTTGTTGTTGTTTTTCTTTGGCGTATGTTTTCGAACGAAAAATGTAAATTTTATCAATTGAGAATTCAACGTTGTATATGAATCTAGAAAGAACTGACTCAACTTTTGAAAATCTGAGCATTTTTCCTTCTGTTTTCAGCCGACGAGAATCAAATGCACAGCCCATTTGGTGGCACTGAATGACTTTGAATTTATTTTATCTAAAGAAAACAGGCAAAAAAATCGATTGAGATAAAAATTCACTTTGATGAGACTTTATTTTTAAACAAGTACGACGTAGCCATAACCGTGGAGATTGATGGTTTACCGATCACTTTGATGCATTCACAATTTCGGAAAATTACAGTCACCACTTTCATGTTTTGTTGTACGGCATTTGGTAAACAAGTCAAATCCATGGCATGGCATTTCTTGGTAACCCATTAAATCCATGTAAAATTACAAATAAATTCCCCATGAAAATACACACCCACATTGAATATGTAGTAGTTGTTGAAATGGTTCAAGTTCAATTGTTGCATTCAGCGCCGTTAAATGGATTCATATATATATATTTGTAATCCAATTCAAATGTCATTAGGAAGCGCAAACACGTATTTCCACTTAATTGATTGATTTATGTAATTTTGCTTTGCATTTTTCTCTACAGTTTTCATCTGATTTTTTATGGTTTTTACATGCATGGTGTTTACAATTGTATATGATTAAATTCGGTATTCGATTGGATAAAATGATACAGTTATTCGACTTTATCGATATTCGTATTAAGATAAAGTTCGATTGAAGTGTTTATGCAAGGTATTTTTCTAGCATTATTGCTCACTGCTCGTTTTTTCTTCGTTTCTTCGATTGAAATTCAATATTTGCAGAGAGCACAAAATTGGAGCGAATTTCAATTTCCCAGGATAAGAATTGAAATAAGAATGTTAGATTGTGAGGTAAATACGGATTTAACGTCAATGTCTTTCTTAACTTTGTGCTGGTAACATTGATTCGTAATTGTCTTTTATGTCCTTACGGAATTACCTTTTTGATCTGCAAATTATCTGCTGTATATGGTGATGGTGATGATGGTATTTTGTGTATATGTATGAGGAAGAGTGCTTATGGTCCGTTTCGATTGTTATTTTTATTTTCAGCTGCAGCTTTTTCACTTTGGATAAAAGTGCCTTTTAGTCATCAGATAAAAGCTTACTCCATTACCAATGAATCAGAGCGCACTGTGCACGAGCATTTGGCATTGATTTTATTCTTTCTTTCTTTTAGTTCTCCTTCGCTTGTGTGAAATTCACATAAATGGTAGCTGATGTTTTTTTGTCAGGCGTTTGAGAAACGGTGTTGAATGTCATTCTTCAATCTGGAAAAAAGGGCAAAAAAAAAATTGAAAAAAAAAACAAACAAAATCCAATCGGAGAGTTTTCGGCCATATCAAATCACAATGGAATTGTTCAGCTTGAAAGCAATAACAAAACGAAAAAAAAAAATGTTTTATCATTTCCTGATTTAAATTAAATTGGTCAAAAGTTACGACCCTGGAAAAATGCTAATTTTCTCCCTTCATCCGTGCATAAATTTGCGTATATTTTGACGAAGCTTTTTTCTTTTGAATATATAAAATTCGTTCCACATCCCACATCCAAACGGAGATTGGGGTGGAGGAAAGGAACAGACATCTAGTAACATCTTCTTCATTTCAAGTGGATATTCTACTCCGAATATGTGAAATTTGACACTATACCCAATAGGTAACGTAAACCACAGGCATGGCATGGTCAGAACCACCACGAATCAGCACACTTGCGCTGTTCATGGAAAAGTGTGAATAAATTCAAAAGGTCATTAATTGCGTGAAGCATTTGGAATGGCACCAACATGACGGAATGGCACCACTGTCGCCAGCATGCAATCGATGTCTATTTAGAATATATGCAAATCAACGTCATCACTGTTGTGTGGCAACGCAATTTAATGCCTGCCACGTTTTAATTTGTAGGTGTTCTATTTTGCATTTAATCACCACCACCACATCATAATTATTATTATCAACATCATCAAACGTAAGTTATTCCAATGATTTTCTTCAACGTCTAAACATATATATTGTCCATATTCATGTCTTTAATGGCATTTAACTAATGAATGAAATATGATCGTATTACAAATAAATGTCAAGTGAAGCGAATACATTTCGAAATAAAGTTTCATTTAAGGTGACTCTCGGCGAAAATTGCCACAATGAAATGGACGCATTCACGGAAAATATAACAAATAAAAAAAAAACACCGAATAAATTAGTCGCAATTCTTCTGGGAAATTGTGTGAATTACGACACGGAAGTTATCTGATGCGGCAGAGATGAACTATATGTTGTACAAATAAATTGAGTCAATTAGTTCACAGTCACACGCAGGCGAGCGTCTCTATTTACAATATTTCGTATCATGTCAGCTACAAGCCAATTTTGTAGAGCACTTGAAATTTCCTTTTTTTAGTGCACAAAACCACAATGCACATAAATATAGGGATAGAGTGTGCAAAAATTGTGGCATTTGGTATTAACATTAGTGAAGTTGAAACCAAGCGATGGCCTAGAATAGTTGCATCATTATTTTCCACAACACGTATCGTTGTCACGCATTCAGCGAACGACATTTCCGACAAGAGCGAAACAACAAAAAAATCATCTTTCAAAATGAAGTTTCCGTTGGATAAAGTTAATTCATTACGGCAACATCATCGTCGCATGTTAAATTGAAAAGACTTTGACACAAATTTTGGTGCGTATTAAAGTCCTTTGTGATCACAATGCAGCTGTACTCACATTGTCACAAGTGAATGTATCATCTCCGCTTTGTACTTGGCTTTGTATGCTGTGAAACTATCATTTTCCGATGAAGTCGCATTTACCGAGATGAAATTAAGCCAGGCGAAAGCGAATTGTCGATTGTTTTAGACGACGACGATCAGGGATAAAATTTTACAAGTTTCATAAATGAAACATTGTCTGAAGTGATTTCGTTCATTGCTAATAATAAAATAATGTTGTATATGAGAAGCGTTCATTGTTTATGTCATCTTCTTGCAAGAAAACAACCACTTCAGCTCAATATGGCTCGAGTGCAATAACGAGTTGTTCAATTTAATGACACAGCGAGAATGTACAGCAATCAATGTTTCGCTGAATCTGTGATATACCCTTTGCATGACGACGACAACGACGATGAAAACGGTGACGACAAAACAATAACAACGACTGTATCATAGAATCCATGATATCGTTATTCTTCGAACAAAAGATAAGTAAAAGGCGCGCACATAAATTACGTTAAAGCGTAATGTGATATGAATGGAAAAACTATGTTATTGTGCTGTCCACGGTGTTTACCGTCCGATGGCATTTATTGACCACCATTAAATTGATTCCATTATTATATTTCATAATATTTCATAGAGGCAATAACGTTGTTATTTATAATCAAAAATATGATTCTCAATTTACTACCTCGAAACCGATTACACGACGAAAACACACTAATTGCTCTTCATTCTGCTCTGCTTTCTATGCCCTCCAGTTCGACTTATAAGAGGTACTTTTTTATACTTAATAAAAGTACCGACTCGACAAATGAATCGAAAACGCTTACAAGCATTCGAAAACAATTAAGTGATTGAACAATATCATAACTCATGACACGATATGAAAGTTTTACATGTGTTTTTTAAATGAAAAATTTGTGTATAATAATGCCATATGAGTAGTACAAATGTTGAAAATCACAGCACTGTGTTGACAATAAATTGTAATAAAGTGCATATAGATTTGATTGATTGAAAGTTGTGAAATAATCCATTTTATTTGGATTGCTTGATTGATTATGCAATATGAGGCATTATCGTCGGGTTACTTGTGTACAATTCAATACATTCATTGCAATTGAAACCGTTTTCGAAGCCATCTTCATAGCGAAAATGTATTTGTCACATTTACGATTCACCAAACAAATTCACCAAATTTGAAGAACGGAAAAAGGCATTCTTGTTAGTTGAAAAATGTGTGCTCTTTTATTTTGAGAATGTTGTGAACCTTTATTTGGTAAACCAGCATCACCGACGCCACATAGCTCTGTTGATAGTTTTTTTTTGTCATACAGTGACCTTTTCGATAGATCGATGCTTCTTGAAAGAAAGTTGACCATTGGAATGTGTCAAGCGATTCAATTACATTTAAATTCAATGAAATTTCTTCAAGCTGAATACATGTTACCTATGTTAACATTGCACGTAGATCGCTGTAATATCCTGTTGAAATTCCTTTCTTCATCGCAAATTGATTTCTCTGTCATCGTTTGGGAATATGTAATTGTTATTCGGGTAAACCTCCAGACATTCTTTTTGTATAAGTGGCTGAAATGCGCTCCAAGCGTTTTTGGGTATAACCAAAGTAAGCTACACAATTGTGGATTAAGCCGTAGCCATGCTAAAATTATTTTGGATGAAAAGTATATGACGTTGAAAAGATTCAAATGTTCTACAAGTGGTAGATACTTCACGATGAACCTTTTGTTGACACGTGAATTCAAATCAAATACTTCTTGGTTTTATTTCATTCGAAGATGAAAAGTGAATTTCTACGTCAATTAAAGACATGAATTCCACCTAGGGAAAATGACTCGTAAGTTCATAAGTTTCTGTAAGTTTCACAAGTTCGCGTAAGTTTTCTATGAAGTAGATTACTTGTAAGTTTTTCAACGTCAGCATTTTATTCAACATAAATTTACGTTGTCAAAGTATGACATTGCATGCATATACAAAAATAAAATAAACAAAAAACTGTGATTCATATTTCTCTTTTCAAGGTGGTCAACCGTATATAGGTGCCGTACTGACCTAATTTACTTTTTAAATTTAAATATTGAATGGTATTTCAGCATCTGGAAGCAACAGTGAAGCACATTTTCTCGTTATCCTTTGGAAAAATAAACAAAAGTACATCTATGTTGAACAAGCTTTTAAATCATTTTAAGATAATTACATACTTACCATTAAACATTTGGAAAATGCCGACATTTTTACAATTTCGTTACGATCTACTGTAATCCTCCTACCTTTTGCACTAATTCCTAATAGTAATGGTTCTTCCATAGTAGTTGATGAATTTGATTTTTGTCTAAGAATCACAGGAGCTATAATTTAAAAAAAAATACAAATCAATCGAATATGAAGGTCACGTAAATTTATTTTAAATACGAAGATGTTATTGATGTGCAATTTGACCTTTATTTTATATTTTATATTAGCTGATAACGAGCTCATTTATTTTGATGTGCGATTCATCGGAAAGTTGTTAGAAATGCTTGCGTATGTACAATTCGACGACCGAATCACAAAAAGTTTTAAAGGCGTAGTTTGTGAATCGAAAAACTATTTTGGATACTCTTTCTTCTTTCACTTTTGACTAATCAAAACTATTTTATTATATAATGTGCTCGAATTTGAATGTAAAGTGTATATATTTGGAAGAACTATGGTAGAAATAGTTAATAGATTATAGCTCCGTTGCACTTAGTGTCTCCTTCCGCAAGTAGGATGGCTGCATTGAAGTAGAATCGCGATAAATCGGACACTAACACTGGAGTATAAATATTTTCATAATCTTCACACTCTATTGTAGTAACAAATAGTGGCACAAAAGCACATACTAAGAAAATTATCTTCATTTTTCCTAAATATTGTTTGGCTTAGTCAACTGAACTGATAACTGAAATGTGGGATTTTTTGCCAAATAAAAAAGTAAACTCAATTAGATGATACTTCTTCTTTTTTTAATTGTAAATGTACAACCACCAGTGATCAGTAATGAAATTCACGCACTCTAAATAGATAAAATATAAGTTCTTAAATAACTTGTTCAGAATAAAAAATGTGCGTCTGTATTGGGCTGAATTCAAAACAAAAATGTGTTTGGAACATTTGATAAACTGTCTACTTCATTCGTTTATCGAATGTTTTGCTGCGGAAAACACAATTTGTTCTTTCACGTACTTTGAAAACGAACCAAAATTCAATTGAATTATGAACTGATATCAGAGGAAGCGATGTGTGATTTACTACTTTTTTCATAATAGGCGAATAAAATCCGGGCACTTTTCCAATGGAATAATTGAATGCCACTTACAATGAGAGGAAATGACAGCAAATTTTAAAATTGGCGCGCTGTTTAGTTTCGATTCGAGTTGTAAAATTACATTGACGTCCCCTTTGAAATTCGATGCGCCACCGTCGGCTCAAAGAGACTTGAAGTCTTCACATCCGCTCATTGGCCACTTATCTCCAAACTCTAGTCCAAACTCAAAATTTTGTCTATTATATTGTGCTGTATATACGATTGCATATATGATAGATACACCATTTATACTTAAATTTGTATGAAAAGACTCTCACTGATTTCTTCTTCAATTGAATAAAATTTAATTTGTGTTCGTTTTCAAAGTACAATAAAGAACAAATTGTTTTTTTCCGCAGCAACATATTTGATGACCGAATGAAGCATTCAAATGTTTACCAAAAGTCAGTTTTGTTTTGAATTCAACCCAAAACGATCGTACATTTTTTTATTCCGAATATTTTTTTTTTTTAATTGCTTATATTTTATCTATTCACACGTGTGTTTGCACCTTTACATTTATAAAAAACAAAATATTCTCAAGTTTCACATAAAATTTATTTTGTCGAAAAAAAAAAATCGCACACACACATTACAATTCAGTTGACTAAGCCAAACAATATTTATGAAAAATGAAGATAATTTTCTTAGTATGTGCTTTTGTGCCACTATTTGTTACTCCACTAAAGTGTGAAGATTATGAAAATATTTATACTCCAGTGTTAGTTACCGATTTATCGCGATTCTGCTTTAATGCAGCCATTCTACTTGCGGAAGGAGACACTAAGTGCAACGGAGCTATAATCTCTTCCACAAAAATTGTTACATCTTACAAATGTATGATACATTTTGATGAACATCACAGTATGTATTTGCCTTTTTCGAAAAATATTTCGGTTCGAGTCGGTTCAACAGAAAGATTAAGTGGTGGAATAATAAGACATGTGGATAATGTTCGGCGCATTTCCTTTCCGCTTGATGATATTACTCTTCGTAGGTATCCAAATATACAACATGCTATTAATGATTTGGCTGTGCTTTCATTTAAGAAACCATTACCACTTGGGCCAACGATTTGTCCAATACGGTTGGCTGAAAAGAAAGATGACATTTACATAAAAGAAGGATCCCTCGTAGAAATGAGCGGATATAATACACATAGATTCCGCAATATCACGGAATTAAGATCTTTAACGTCGCAAATAATAGAGATCAACAACAAATGTCCAACTTTTCACATAGAGGAAAGATTTACCATGTGTTCCATGGAAGGTGGTAAGATTTTTGATAATTTAACAAGATTTCACACCAGTAAGACTATTTCTACCATAGTTCTTCCAAATATATACACTTTACATTCAAATTGGAGCACATTATATAATAAAATAGTTTTGATTAGTCAAAAGTGAAAGAAGAAAGAGTATCCAAAATAGTTTTTCGATTCACAAACTACGCATTTAAAAGTTAAAACTTTTTGTGATTCGGTCGTCGAATTGTACATAGGCAAGCATTTCTAATAACTTTCCGATGAATCGCACATCAAAATAAATGAGCTCGTTATCAGCTAATATAAAATATAAAATAAAGGTCAAATTGCACATCAATAACATCTTCGTATTTAAAATAAATTTACGTGACCTTCATATTCGATTGATTTGTATTTTTTTTAAATTATAGCTCCTGTGATTCTTAGACAAAAATCAAATTCATCAACTACTATGGAAGAACCATTACTATTAGGAATTAGTGCAAAAGGTAGGAGGATTACAGTAGATCGTAACGAAATTGTAAAAATGTCGGCATTTTCCAAATGTTTAATGGTAAGTATGTAATTATCTTAAAATGATTTAAAAGCTTGTTCAACATAGATGTACTTTTGTTTATTTTTCCAAAGGATAACGAGAAAATGTGCTTCACTGTTGCTTCCAGATGCTGAAATACCATTCAATATTTAAATTTAATAAGTAAATTAGGTCAGTAAGGCACCTATATACGGTTGACCACCTTGAAAAATGATAATAATTTCCTTGTTTATTTTCGGTGGGCGCTGGTATCGAAGATTTTTTGTTGAAGATTCAACGAATACGACATCTATTAAAATACATAAAGATTTTTGTTACTAAAGAACACACTGACTCTGATTTTGTGTGTCCGTTTGTATTGCAAATTCTGCACTCAGTCGTCAACCGTAGCTGCTTGTGCACAATTTACAACACACACGCATACACAGAATCGATGTCAGTACTAATACGTTTGCAATACAGCTATATAGTTCTCTAGAGCTGTGTCAAGACAGCAGTAGTAACGAAAATCTTTATTGTCTTTAATAGGTGGCGTATTGTTGAATTTTCAACAAATATTTCCATACAAAAAGTGCTTCACCAGCGCCCACCGTTTATTTTACTTGCTTTGGCAACACAAATTTACATTGATAATATGTTTACGTTGAGTTTTTTTTATTGTTGCTGAACGTTGCATTTTCTAATTATTACTGTCTATTTTCTAATTATAATTGTCGAATAAAGTTGCAATATTAATTGTTTTTTTCTCACCTTGCTTCAATTGTGAAAAAAAAATCTTTCTACATTTTTCTTAATCTATCGACAAAAAAGTACAATTTTTTTGTTTTATTTCCTTTTTAGCACTAGTGATATTTAGAGACAAAGATATGGTACCGTTTCTACTTGGAGTTAACGCCAGGAGACTCTTAAAGAACGTTACCCATGAACCACTAGTTGAAACAAGCACCAGAATCAAAGACTATGTAGATAGGATTAAATCTTTCTTCAATCGTGAAGTAAGAGTAAAAAATGATTCTTAATGTATTTAAAAAAAACTTTTTCATTTCTTCTTTCTTTTCTCTACAGGAAACAAATGACATCATCCGAAGTAATAATCGCGAAATTCAAATTATAGATGCCTATTAGTATCGATGCAGAAGAATGTGAATGATTTCCAATGTTTTGACGATGATTCATTTCATTAAATCCATATCGATCGCGTTATCACACATACGTTTGAGTCGGTTAAAATGATTCGTAAAATTTTGTTATTTTTTTTATTTGTTTCTTCATTTGGCAAATAGATCGCATATATAAGTGCTTTTTGAAATTCATTTTGCTTATACCTTTATTTTTTTCTCTAATGAATTTGAATTTTTTTTTTTTTGTAAGACGATGTTATTTAAATAAAATGCTTGCAAGGCACTTTGAAAATATTCTTCAACGAAAGTACATCGAATTTACATTCCCATGTCTTTTTTGTCTTGAATGTCACCCAAAAAGCTTACTGTTTTCTCTTCAATATTTTTAATATCGAAAAAAAACCATTGCTATATGCAATTGAGCCACTTCAATACTTCAATTCAACTTTTTTGTCACATATACGTTTGAGTCGGTTAAAATGTGTGCGGTGCTAATAGCATTGTGATCGATGATTATACAGTAAACTAGGATTGTGAAAATTTTAGGTTGTCGGTGATTCAAAGCAATTGTTTGGTAATATGTGCTAGGAAAATTGGCCTTTTTTATACTTTTGCTGTATGAATTTTATGTTTTTACATTTCGGCATTGTGTTAACGTATATGGGCAAATCGTACGTTCGCATAAATTCTCAAAATCAGCTTGGGTCGGCCGAATCGTCTGTCAAATCAATTTGGAGTCGAACATTTTTCGAATCGTTTTCGATTACATTCACATCCTGTGACACTTTATCTACGCGCTATGAATAACTTAACAAAGGCATATCGCTTACTCAACGCTTCTTTTTCAAATGAAATAGAACAAGAGCACTGCTCTGAAGCACTGAAGGAGATAAAATTCGAATCGAGCACACATACACATCAGTCGAGTGAAAATATTTTTGAGTTGCAACTTATTTTGCTTCGGTCATTTTCACAGGAACGAACGAAAAGTTTAATTTAATTTAAATTCATCGTACAATTTTACAATAAAATTAAATTAAAAGTTAATTAACTAAAATAGACCTTGTGCATTTTATGCTTGAGAAAAGGAATGATGAGATTTTCCGAGCTTCAGCTTTTTCAAGAAGAAGTATTCGAACAAAACCTCTTTTTATTACAGAATTCTTTTGTAGGCAACAAAATAAGCTATATAAAGTGTTTGAGAGAAAATATGTTTTCAAGCAATTCATGAACTTGTTACGATTTGCTATAACCACAGCCACCACAAAATTGCGTTGCACGTAAAACAAAACGAGAAAATAACTAATTCAAAACTTTACCACATTAATTGTGTTTGTGTGTGTTTAAATACAAGGCACTTGTCGGCACTTGTGTTGTCGATATATAAATGGCAACATGCGAAAAATGGTGCCGACGAGGTAATTTCATCTCTTTTCTTTTGCTGTGGTTGTTTGCTGTAAATGTAAATTGACGACTATTACAAATTTGTTGGTTTGGATAAAATAAAGGGAGATCTCTGTGTTTACAATGAAATAGGTGTTCGGTTCAGTGTTCAACGAGCTTTTCACAGTCTCATGTCATATCTTATTTTTTTTGTTCACTCGTTAAATCCAATGAGACTTATTTATTTAATTGTGTGTCACTTTCGAAATCGGTCTTTGTTCAGTGCTCTGGGGTCTACGCCACTTGATTCGAAACAGAGAAAAGAACGACAAAATGTTGAAAAAGTTTTGAAAGCCCCGAGTATATAAAATGAAGCGAAATGACGGCTATTTAAAAAAAAATGTTGCACAACATCGAACAAAGAAGAGAAAAACAACAAATCGATTTTCAAGCGACCCTTGCAATGTCTACAAACGAAAAGAACAAATATGGCCCACAGCATTATTCGAAGCATCTTAAAATCAAACATCGTGCTGTTTGGACAAGATATCATCATGATACGTCAACTTTGGACGGATGAACGAATAGATAGTGTGCGCACGGTGAAGTGACGGCGTGCAAATAGAACTTTGTTCTCCGTTGATGTCCATTTATTGCGTTTGCTTCGCATTTTATGACGCTTGGTCAAAAATGTATAGAAGTGAAAATTATGCGATAGATGAGAAACACACAGAGAGAAAGAAATAACAAAAATGTGAAAGAACAAAAGCTGCAAGAATATTGTCCATTCAGCCAATTTCCAACTTAAGTGTGTGATTATGTAGTTATGTCGCGTCCGTCACTTTTATGTCTTTTTTCAAATGATAAATTAAACGAGAGCTTTTTCGTTATACAAAATTTGCTCAGCAATGAACAATCTTCTTCCTGGGATAAAATGTTCTTTAATCTATTTATGGTGTCCACATCGAACATACAATGGCCTGCAACTACTTTGCTCTATGTAAACTTAAAGGTCAACTTAATGCACACTTTCAGTTTCTGTAAGTTTCAACTAATTGCTTCTGCTTGTGACAAATATATGAGATTTTCACATGTGACCTTTCATTTTGTACCTGCAGAGTGATTGTAGCACTCGAACCATTGTAGGCTTTTATCATGAATTTTTAACAATATGGAAAAGATTGTTTGTGTTTGCTCTATTGATGTATGCCATCAGATGTTGTTATTCTACGATGAAGGACAAACATTGTTCAGAGCATAAGCATAAAACAAAATATGATGTTGTTATAACTTGAAAGAGAAAAAAAAAATTACTTGAATTTATGCAAATATTTGTTAGCATAACCGCTATCAACAAGGGTGGCTTGAGCCATATAGGGAAGTCACTTCTCTCGATACCGATTTACAAACGGCTTCGATTTATAACATCCGGAACAAGTTAAACTATTATGTAAATTTAACATGTTGAAGCATATTTGTACGCAACCAATTCACATGTGTATACCCAATGTTGCATGTTTATCATATCATTATGTTGGCATACAATAAAACTAGTGAGCAATTTGTTTCGTGATAACGCGAATGAAATGCAGCATGCTGAACATGAACGATTATGTGTATTATTTTTACGCATACACCACCCACATTGCACTACTTGAAAAAAACACAGAGGAAAATGGAAGAATATAAGAAAAAACAATGTGGAAAATAGTCGCAGCCTAGTTAATTGCTTATTAACGGAGCTCTCTATCTCTCTATCTATCTGTATGTGTGGACGTATTCAACACGCAGTACACATGGTTGACCACTTTGGGTGAATGGAAAAAACATTTTTTTGTCTCTCGGGCCATTTGTTCACACGCACAACATTGCTCGTATAAAAACAGCAGCACATAGTTCAACGACCAAAAAAGAAACAGAACACCGAACCTTATTACTTTTCAACCATTTGTATACACACAGGCACACTCACAAAAACATTAGCCATGCAGAAAGCAACAGAAAATCAATTACACTCTTTTTATTCATTTTCATTTTAATGTTGAAGAATATTGTAAAGGACATTCTGTTTTGAAAGCATAGCCCACAAACTAATTAATCGTAATTATTTTCTATGAAGATGTTCGCTCGCAATCTGGTGTGCACAAATGGACGAAAATTTATTGGCGCCAAGTAAAACCAACAATTTTTAACGGTTCGGTGCTCTTTTCATTCGGTGTCCATCCATTTTGGAACGAAGCAAATGGTCTCGAGATAACACAACTTTCCATTGTCATTCAACCATTATTTAAGCTGCTGATGCTATTTTTCATTTTACTTTCAATGCAATCGGAAAGAGTAACGTCAATCGTTTTTTTTTTCTAAACACTAATTTAACCAACCAGTCACGAGTACATGAGGTGAACACACTTTTTTGCATTCACTCTTCTTATCACATGACTATGCACAATTTAAACGCTTAATTGCTTGGACATTTACCAACAAATGGCAATGCATTACAAGAAACTTTCAGTTAATGCTCAAGAAATCTACTTCAGTTTTTCAGATCATGCAATGTTGTTCGTCTTTAATGAATGTTGTCTTACAATATAAAATGAGGTTTATTCAAAATCCGTTTTTCTGATAAGACATTCATTTTCTTTTGAAAATCCAACCATTCTATTTATTTCTATTGTACGCAAATTATTTACTTTTATTCCAAAAATCTTTTTCAATTTTGTGGTAATGATTTACAAAAAAAATATATGAAAAAGAAACTTTTTGTAACAAAATATTCAAAAAAAAATTCGATTTTTAACAAAATATTCAACTTTTTTTCGATAAAAAACAATGTAAATTGAAATTTAAATAATAAAACCATCACAAAATCCATTAATTTAATTCCATTTTGGCGGAATAGAATACATTTGAATGTGAATTACACTCAAAAGCACATATAAGATTTCGTTTGTTTATTCTGCTTACAATGGTATCGAACGCAGTCCTTGTCTATTAGCTGTTTAAGCGTTTATCACTTTGTTTGATGAAATCACCGTTCTGACTTCTGCTTCTGTTTTAGCACTGTATACCCAATTGAATTGACTCTATTCGAATTTCACTTTCCTTTTTTTTTAAATACACATGAATCAAATACACACAAAAAAGACAAGACTGAATTTCAACGAAGCTCTCAGTTTGGATTGAAGGACAGAATCACACACACAATGAACTTTTATTTCCATTCAATTTATTTATTTTTTCTAAATCTTATGCGTTGGAAATGATTTTAGTTTCGACCGGCGCCATTTTCTATAAAATATATACTAGATGAAAATTCCTTACACAGCTTCGACGGAGCTCTCTGTGGAATCATGAAAATATGGATACGACTAGCTGTACTCTTTTCCACCATATATGGTTGTATCGCTCGAATAGGTCATATGCTATTGTTACCACCGTTCATTCATGAGCTTATCAATGGGAAAATACGGTGGTTGGAAAGGGACCATTCTACTTATACACAAAGCTTGGGGCACAAGCTTTTCCATTTCCACAACAAGCAGTCAGATATGATAATGAACTGAATTGAATTTATGATTGCACAAAGAAATGACTGGCAACAAGTTTCATATATGTACATTGCAATCAACTATTTATTCTTTGAAACGTGTGTGTGTGTTTTTCTGTTTGTTCGAATCAAAGCATTAATTTAAATGTTGAATTATTTTGTAAGAAATTTCATCATTGGTTTTAGTCAAATTTGAAACTCATCGTTCACATTTGAGTTAAATGGAATTTATCGTACGCGTACGAGTATCAAATCAATACTGGTTAGTTCGCATTTTGACGGCTAGCTCGGCGCCACTTATACGTTCCCTCACTTACACATATACGAATAAAATAATTGACAGTGAAACACGTAAACTATTCGCAGCTCGGTGTCATCCAGAACAAATCACGAAACTGAAGAGAGAAAAATTGACAAAAAACTGTGTTAAATTCGTCCATTTCCATTCTGAATTCAGTTTCAATTTAATCATTGTAAGTACTTTAAATTGAAGACAATTAAAATAAGTCAAATATTTTGATGAAACATCTTATAAATATACAATAAAATCAGGTCAAAATGACAAGCCGTATGCAGTAAAAGAAATGGTTGAGAGTAAAAAAAAAGTGAATTATCGTAATAGCTATTTGACGATTTCGACGAACAAGTGAGAAAAAAATGATTAAAAATATCGAAATTTTTGTCCATTTTTTATGCATTTACTGTATTTTATCGGCACAATTTTAAATTGGATGGTGTCTAAATCTTGTACATTATTCAATTCCGTGAATCAATCAAGCAATATTTAGAAAAAAAAAATGTATATGAAATGATTATAATGCAGGTGCATTGGTATTGGTGTATATCAATGGCGTGTATGTGTGTGTATGAGTGCGGGCTTGTACACAGGCGCTGCCTGTCTATTACATATTTATCATTTGAGGCATTGTTGTTTATCGAAACAGCGATATATCGTTGTGTTATCGTCATCCGTTTTTAGTGCGCGCTGGTGAAGTGTTTTGTTTGAAGGGAAATCGGCTAACAACATAAAAAAATATGTCGACTTTGTAAATTTTTCTTTTAAATTCCATATCTTTTATCTTATTTTAATCCGTAGAATTCAAAAGTGTTTTGACATTTCTAGTTCCGAATTTTTGCAAAATTATTTTGATGCCATTTTAAACACACTCCCATCATTTGATTTGTTTTCGTTGAATGTTGGTGTCGATGCTGTTAAATTTCATTGAAGTTGCTTCAGATAAACTGCGTTCTATCTAAAACAATATTCGTTGGAGAAAACAGATGACACCCCTTTTTTTAGTCACAATACCGATTAAACGCATTATTTTGATCAATAGTTCCTATTTCTTGTGTTTATTGAGATCGTTAATTTTATTATCTATTTTTATAAAGATATAAATTTAGACCGTGCTAGTTGTTTCATTGCATTTTCATTTATTTTTAGCCTTTATAACATCGATACATTTGCACACAAGAGAAGCGAGAACAAAATGACGGATTCAAAATACTTTACAACCACCAAAAAAGGTGAAATATTTGAATTGAAATCGGAGTTGAACAGCGATAAAAAGGAAAAGAAAAAGGAAGCTGTCAAAAAGGTGAGTAGTGAAGCTGCAGCTATGGAAAAAATCGATTTATTGAAACGATTGCATATTGATATTTCAGGTGATTGCGAGTATGACAGTTGGTAAAGATGTGTCGGCCTTATTTCCCGATGTCGTCAATTGCATGCAGACCGATAATTTGGAACTGAAAAAATTGGTTTACTTGTATTTGATGAACTATGCAAAATCGCAGCCCGACACGGCAATCATGGCGGTCAACACATTTGTTAAGGTTCGTTTGCACTCACCCAAATAAGAATCAATTTATTATTCGTTCACTTCTTTCTTTTTGATAAATCAAGTCACTTTCGTCTCTCGTTCAAAAATCATTTTCGTTGAATTTCGTTTTATTTATTTTATATGGACTTTTTTTTATCGCAGTTTAATTTTTTGTTTATATGATCCAATGAAATGCTCTCCCTGTTGATATATTTACTTGATTGTTTACTAATCGCGTTTGACAACTATACCAATGGTGATTAAGATTTTATTTTAACATTAGTTACTCGAGCGCGTATTTAGATTTTTTGAGCACGTATAACCGTAACATTTGAATTAGATAAGAAAAAAAAACATATTGGAAATGCAAGCGTTCCAAGCTAAAATTAAAATAACGTGCACAAAGCCTTTCTGTTCTTAATTTGATTTTTTTTCTTTCGATTTTTGACAGACAATTTAATACTTATTTTATTCTTTTTCTCTAACCAAAACAAAAACTTATTTGTTTTTTTTTTGCTAATTGAGATTCAAACTGAATGATTTGTTTTTGAAAATATATATATATACAAAATAAAAGGATCTGCCCTCTTCGCAACTTATTAAGGTAAACTGTACATTCCACACTATTTTAACACATTCTTATTTTCTGTGATGATCCGTTGTAATTTCAAGTTAATATTTTTTTTTTTGATATGCCAACATATGAGCAAATTCACAAAACAACCAAAAAAATCAAGACTTATCATTTTTGTTCGCCTATTTGTTGCAACTGATACGAAATTTAATAATTATAAAAAGGAACATGTTACTTGTTTGTTTCGTTTAACACGTTTATTGAGAATGGAAGGTTGAAACATGAACCAAGAATAAAGTTGAGTAGAGGTCATATCACTTCATTTTGCTGCAACATTTTTGTTTTTTTGGTTTTCATCAAGTAAAAAATGATCAAAAAAACCGTGCATAAAATCTTATCATTTTTGTTTGAGCAATAAATCAAACTATTTTGGGCTGCTGCATTTATGTTATGTGTGTAACGCCAAATCATATTTATTCGCTACATTGTTTTTATTTTATCATAAATGTTCTATTGTTTTTTGTGCAAGTCGATACAAAGTAGATACGCCAGAAAAAAAATTGTATTTCATTGTGTGTTAGCTGTTTCTAAAACTATTTGTGATGATAATATTGTTAGTGTTTCGTGCATAGATGAGAAGAATATGCTATATAGAAAGATGATTCATAAAATCACCTCCAATTGTGCCTCTGTTTAGCTGTTCAATTTGTTATGTTTGACATAAACAAGTTTTTTTTATTAATCAAATCTTCGATACTTTTCTCTTTTTCTCCCGAATAGGATTGCGATGACTCCAATCCGTTGATTAGAGCACTGGCTGTGCGAACCATGGGATGCATCCGGGTCGATAAGATAACCGAATACTTGTGCGAACCGTTGCGAAAGTGTTTACGTGATGACGATCCGTATGTGCGTAAGACGGCAGCTGTTTGCGTTGCAAAACTGTACGACATTTCATCGTCAATGGTAAAAATCAGTGAATGTTTTTTTTATGGATTAAGCAAATTTTATAGTATGTGCGTATATATTTTTAGGTGGAAGATCAAGGTTTTCTTGATCAATTGAAAGACTTGTTGTCCGATTCAAATCCAATGGTTGTTGCAAACGCCGTGGCAGCTCTTAGTGAAATAAACGAAGCAAGTCAATCGGGACATCCATTGGTTGAAATGAATTCACCAACCATCAACAAATTGTTGACTGCTTTGAATGAATGCACCGAATGGGGTCAAGTCTTCATCTTAGATTCATTGTCAAACTATAGCCCAAAAGATGAACGTGAAGCACAATCGATTTGTGAACGAATCACACCACGTTTGGCACATGCCAATGCGGCCGTTGTATTGAGCGCTGTAAAAGTGTTGATGAAATTATTGGAAATGTTGTCGAGCGACAGTGATTTCTGTGCAACACTAACGAAAAAATTGGCACCACCATTGGTGACACTCTTATCATCAGAGCCCGAGGTTCAATATGTTGCATTGCGTAATATAAATTTGATTGTTCAAAAGCGGCCCGACATTTTGAAACATGAGATGAAAGTATTCTTTGTGAAATACAATGATCCAATTTATGTGAAACTTGAGAAATTGGATATTATGATTCGATTGGCCAATCAAAGTAACATCGCCCAAGTGTTGAGCGAATTGAAAGAGTATGCAGCTGAAGTTGATGTGGATTTTGTACGAAAAGCAGTTCGTGCTATCGGTCGTTGTGCTATCAAAGTGGAACCGTCGGCCGAACGATGTGTTTCGACACTTTTAGATTTGATTCAAACCAAAGTCAACTATGTCGTTCAAGAGGCCATCGTTGTTATTAAGGACATTTTCCGAAAATATCCAAACAAGTATGAGAGTATTATCAGCACATTGTGTGAGAATTTAGACACATTGGATGAACCAGAGGCACGTGCTTCAATGGTTTGGATTATTGGTGAATATGCTGAACGTATTGATAATGCCGATGAGTTGCTGGATGGTTTCTTGGAAGGATTCCAAGATGAAAATGCTCAAGTACAATTGCAATTGCTTACGGCCGTTGTTAAATTGTTTTTGAAACGACCATCAGATACACAAGAACTTGTGCAGCATGTTTTATCGTTGGCCACACAAGATTCAGATAATCCAGATTTGCGGGATCGTGGTTTTATCTATTGGCGTTTACTTTCGACCGATCCAGCTGCTGCTAAGGAGGTCGTACTTGCCGACAAACCACTCATTTCCGAAGAAACTGATCTACTTGAACCGACACTTTTGGACGAACTCATTTGTCATATCAGCTCATTGGCCAGTGTTTATCATAAACCACCGACAGCATTCGTTGAAGGGCGCACAGGTGGCATTCGTAAATCATTACCGAATCGCACAGCAACAACCAACAATGAAGAAAGTTCCACTAGCAATGAAGCAACAGTCATTCCAAATCAAGAATCTCTCATCGGTGATCTATTGTCGATGGATATAAATGCACCGGTAGCAGCTGCACCAGCTGCACCAACCAGTAATGTCGATTTATTGGGAGGCGGACTCGATGTTTTGGTGAGTTTTGGTTACATTTTTTTTTTTCAATTCAAAAATTTATCATTTCAATTATACTTGCAGTTGGGAGTCGGGTCAGTACCATCAGATCCAAATGCCGGTGGTTCTGGTCTCTTGGGTGATATCTTTGGTTTATCATCTGTTGCACAGCCAACAAATGTTGTCATTCCAAGAACAGTTTGGTTACCCGCTGAAAAAGGAAAAGGTCTCGAAATTCAGGGTACCTTTTCACGTCGTAATGGTCAAATATCAATGGATATGCTTTTCACAAACAAAGCAATGCAAGCAATGACCGGCTTTGCAATTCAGCTCAATAAAAACAGTTTTGGATTGGTACCAAGTGCACCGATCCAAGTTGGCACTTTACAACCATCACAAGTCATCGAAGCCTCACTCATACTAAACGCAACCGGTCCGGTTCAACGAATGGAACCATTGAATAATTTGCAGGTACAATTTATTTCTTATAAATTCTAAGCTTCTTGGAATCATCCATGAGTTTTTTTTTTAATTCACTTCATTTCATGGGTTTTCAGGTGGCTATCAAGAACAATGTCGATATATTCTACTTTGCTTGTTTGGTTGCTGCCAATTCGCTGTTCCAAGAGGACGGTCAGTTGGATAAGCGTCTATTCTTAACCACATGGAAAGAGATTCCGGCCGCAAATGAGGTGCAATACAGTTTGAGTGGTATCGGCGGTAATGCTGATACAATTTCCACAAAAATGACAGCAAACAACATATTTACAATTGCCAAGCGCAATGTTGAAGGACAAGATATGCTGTATCAATCTCTTAAATTATCGAATAACATTTGGGTTCTTCTTGAATTGAAATTGCAACCAAATAATCCAGATGCGACGCTTAGTTTAAAATCACGTTCGGTTGAGGTGGCAACCATGGTATTCGCCGCTTATGAAGCAATTATGCGATCGGCCTAAATCACTCACACTCCCGAATCTATTCCAGAGATAGTATCGATAATGAACATTCTTCTGTCTAAATGCAATGGAAAGAACTCTATCTGAGTTTACTGTATTCGTATTATAATATTTAGATAAATATATAATTGTTACATTATTTGTATATGATAAGAACAAAAAGATGATTAAAAATTACATATTCCTTCATCAAAAATGAAAATCATCGCAAAAATAGTGTTAAAATGCTTCATTTCGGCGAAACTATTGCAAAGCGAACTATTGAAAAAAAAGAGCTGATCAAATTATTAAGAAATTGAGACACATCAGAAAAGTTTGTTTCGCCAATACGTAAGACCAATTGTAATTTCTGTTGGAAATAAAAAAAATAAAACACACGGTAATTCTAATTCAAAATTATATTAAAACGGTTTTTCTTAAACATGATTTTTTGTAACATGCACGTTTATGAAAATAAAATTTCAGCTGACACGGATTTTGAAATGCAACAAGACAACATTCTTATAAAATACGAATTACGGTCATTTATTCGATGACATTCGATTGCTACGTCTGACATTTTGCTGGATTTCCTGTGAATTTGTGAATTTTGTTCCTCCTCTTGTTCCAATCAAATTATTGGCTAATTCTTTTTGTGCCGCTGCTGATTCATTATGCGTCATTACTGTCGCTGTATTGTATTGATCTCTTGTTTCTAACATAAACTGTCGTTCGGCGTTGAGTTCGTCAACTTCTATCTTTTTAGCCTCTTGTCCAGCCTTTTTTCGATCTCGCTTCCTTTTTAATTTGAGTCTATTTTTATTCTGAGTTTTTAATTTGACTTGGTTCTTATGCAACTGCTTTCTCGATTGTAATCTCTCGATAATAGCACGAGAATCGTCTTTCGGACAAATTTTCAAGCGTTGTTTCGCTTTTTTCGTGCAGTTCATTTGTTTGGTCTGTTTATTTTTGATTCGTTTCAAACCATGCTGATGTAAATAATGACTATGCGGAAAAGCACACGGTAATATCTGGTATTTATTATGAATTTCAATCACAATTTTATCATCAATTGGCTGCCATTCCACTTTATCGAATGGGTCACGTTCGAACTTTACCTTTTTGATGACCTGAGATATACTAAGCGTTTCGGCGCTGAAATTGTATTAAAGAAAATTTTAATATGAAAAATGATCGCATTTGCATGTGAAAAATTGATCTCACCTGTTAGATTTCTCGAATACGTTAACATTAGTGGGTTGCTTTGAATCGGACTGCAAGAGATAATCACCAACCGGAAACGCAACGAATGTTTGAAGTGCTTGCCAAAGTTTTTGAAGAAGTTGCTGAGTTTCAATGCCGTATTTGGCATTCAATTCATTTTCAAGAACATTTAATGGAAACGATTGACGATCGATCACTTTTCCACTCTTGCAATCGAAACGAACTAAAAGAAAAATAAAAAAAATGTATGACAATTTTTATCGGGAAAAACATTTATCGAATATTTTACCTCTATTTGTTATTGTATTCGGTTTGAAAAATAATTCACACCATTCGTCAATTAGTTCTTCCTTTGTCATCACTTCAGCTCCGTACTCCGCTTGATATTCGATTTTCGGTGAATAATTGAAAAATATCACCTCACCATTTTCGCCATTTTTGAAAGCGGCTTGCTTAGCAGGTACCAACAATTTGAACGTCTCTCCTGTCTCCTCCGGCGAATCATCACAACCCGTCACATCGAAAATTGTGAACGTCATATTTTCATATAACGTTTCGCTTTTTGCGTATTTCTTTATAAATTCATCACAGCTTGACACTTTGTATTCTAAATCATTATTTATATTTGAATGGCATTCCATCACATTTGAATCAATGAGTGTTTTACTTTCGAGTTGTTCATTACGATTGTACACATTCAAGGTATTTCGGTTTAAACATGAGTACAGCAAATATTTGGCACCTTTCTTATACCTCTCTCGGCCACTCATATATGCCACTGGCAGCGGCTTATCAAAAATAATTTCCTTTGTACTCGATGTAGTATTCGAATCATTGACAGTCATTGTAAAGGACCACCCGGATTTGTGGCTTAGAAGCAGTTTCAGTATTGAAATTGGAACAACAAAATCAACATTATGCTGTTTTATCAAATCATTCACTTTTTCTTTGATGATCCGCGTGGAGTGAGTATTTTTTCGTTGATTGTATGCTTTCATGAGATTGGCAAATGAGTCTCTGAGATAGTCCACATGTTCGTGCATAATCTGTGGTATATAGCCCAAATGTTCTTGATGAATTGTCTTGGATTTTATCACACAATTTGATGGCTGTATGGATATTGCTGTTGTCATGCGATATCGATCGTTGGCCCGCTGTCGAAGCATTGTTATCAATTTTTTCTTCCAAATTTGCGTAACAAAATAGTCAATGGACGGTGGCACATCGTGATATCGACTGGAGATTTGTGCAAAATAATGTTCTCGTAATTTCTGTAAATAGCTGCTCTTTTCTTCAAAACGATGCAAAGCAGTTGATTCGTATAACATGCAATCTCTTTTATCTTCTGTTGACAATTCGGATATCGATTCGGCTGAGCAACGAAGGGCATTCAAACACGCAGAATGTTCATGCCGCTGTAATTTCGAAACGGCGATATTATTGATTAGGAAAATATTTCTTTTTCGAAGTTCGATATTTTTATAGTCACATTCATTGGATGGAATTTCGAGGCCAGTTCGTGGATCAACAAATTGTCTTGAGACCATCTCTTTATTAACAGTTGCTTCACTTGAATTCTGCGATACATGTTGAAGATGCAATTGATCAATTTCCATCAAATGAGAGAAAAATACATCAGTTCTATTACGTTGGTAATATTCTCGCATATTTAATGCGTATGTCTCCTGCACATTCGTAGCGGCGTCTGACATTGACCTATGGACCAAAAGCAATTCTTATTTGAAAATAACTAAAATAAATTAATAATTACTCACCATGTTAAACGTTTAAATTCATCCATTGTCCTACAGACGATAAGATTTAGTTTAGGAACGATACGATAAGTACAATTTGTTTATGGTTGAAGAAATGAAACGTCAAGCACGTGCAACGTGATTTTTTGACAGTGAAAATTTGACAGTAGCTGTCAAATCAAGTTGAATGTTTTGATATTTTTTTTTAATTTGAACTATTTGATTATTTCGGTTTTTAAAAGTATAGATCTTATAAAGTTATTTCTGAAAAAAATATCACTAAAATAAAAAATTAAGGCATTTTATTATTTTTTTTATTTTTTTTTTTTTAATTGATATATCGAATACAATGTTTTGAATGTAATACAAATATTTTGTTTCTGTGAAAAAGCAATGGATGCCAGTAACTGTATAGTGGTGACTATGTATAAAATTGTTTATGTGTGTGAGTATGTGTGTTTTTGAAATTGAAGAATATTAGGATAAATACTGGGGTAGGTGTAATTCCTATTTCGGCATGTCCCAGAATAAATATTAGTATAGACAATTTCATTGTTGTCTTTGTTTTTCTTCTCATAAGAATAAGACTACCAATAATATGAATGATGCTGATGCACCATGCAAAGATCAAATTATCTAAAAGTTAGGTAAATTGGTATCGTATATCAAAAGACAACTGATTAATACTTGATTAATTAACAAAATATGTTGCGAATAATTTCATGTGTATTTTCTTAATTTCCAAAGCATAGTGAAATAAATATATCACTTGTATCCAATTGATGAAAATTATTTTAAAGCACTAAAAACGTACAAAATTAACAGGATATGGACATTCACTAGGATTACCCTTTTTAGTTACTTAATAAATATTATTTGAATTATATATATTTTTTTGTTGTTATGAAATACAAAAGCATTCTGTTTGCACCATTAAAATTGGATCGTGCACCAATTTTGTTTTTGCTATTGAAAAATAGGAGCCGATTCAATCAGCCCACAGCCATATAATATTATTGAAAATAAGCTGCCAATTAATTGAAAAATGTTGTAAGTTTGGTAAGGAAAATGTTCAAAGCTATTGAATGTTATTTGATGGTCCTCAGTGTACGGTAGTATCATACAAAAGTGCAATGTTTAGCAATAACAAATTATAAACTATAATACAGACTTTGATCAATACCATTCAAACGTATTTGTTAGGAATTCACTGCATTTTAGCATGAGAGAAAAAAGGTTTGTTAGAAAATGCAAATTACAACGAGTGATTAGTTTATAGCATTCAAAATGGTAGCTATTTCATTTCCATTTTCTTCTAAAGAAAATGTTAATTTGGCAATTTTTTTTGAGATAATAAATTTTATATATAAAAAAACACCATATATGCAATGCAAATAAAGGCATTTGTGTTGCTGATAAAACAATTGTTTAGGCCACTTGTTGAGCGGATATTTCAAGCGAATGAGTAAAAAGGGAAAATTATTATACAAAAAAAAAACTTTTCGGCACACAAAATGTTTTCCATCTTGATTTTTAAATTTTATATGGAAAAAAATTGTTCCAAAAAGAGCGCAGAAAAAACTTCCAGTCCAATCATTCTTATTCGTTTTATTATGTAAACGAGATTATTAGCACTATTTTCTTCGCAATGCAACCAGCATAGAAATTATTTTTCTTAATGAAAGTTTCACAGTTAGTGTTTAACGTTGGATTCAACATTTTGGATCAACTGTCGTTTCTAAAAGTTCAGCCAACCGTAAAATACACACCCGATTCCCTTCGTATGCCTCTTTGGAAAGCTATTCAGTGTGAAAAAAAGAAATTATATTAAAAATGTGCCGCTTTTGTATTGGAAAGTCGAGATTTTACCTTGACAAACGACAAAAATCCGTGGGGTAATCCCGGCAATACATCCAATCCAATTGGAATGCCAAGTGCTTTTAATCTTTTTGCCATCATTATGCAATCATCTAAACATGGATCCATATCGACGGTCTGAAAAGAGAACAAAGCGTCAGACTCCAGAGCCAATTTCCTAAAATTTCAATAAAAGAATTCGTACCAAAATTTTTACGGACGGCAATTGCAGAAGCATTTCGTCGCTAGCATCCCACGGCGATAAAAATGGATCGTGTGGAACTTCGAATAGATAGTCGTCAGCAGGATTGCGTTCGACGAGCGAATTTAATCGGCTTCTTGTGAATCCCAATCCATTGGCGTTGGTAATTCCATTTCTAATGATGGTTGGCGATGTGATCGCATTGAAAGTGCTTGCAACGGAATTCGCTGCCGTTTCAACTGCTTTATAAATTTTCGTTGGAATATTTTGCATATTTAGTGCCTCTCGTCCTTCTTCAAATAAAACATTATCTTCTGATTGTGTTCGTGACGCTGTCGCTTTTGTCAAGTCTTCTTTGCCGTATTTTTCCACAAAATCGTCTACAAAGTTCTTTGGTTCATTGTTCGGTGGTTCCGTTGAATCCATTTCAAGAAGCGATGATGATGTGGAATTTCGTCGTCGTTCGCATGCCACATTCACATTTTCATCGATATTACAAATTTCAAATGCACCATTTTGTAAGCCAGCGGTCGGTTTATGCTGTGTCAACGGTTGTGAATCTTCTTCAAATGAAATTCCATTACTTTCATCGGGTGTCATCATTTCGGTATTGCTGTTTCCATCCGTTTGACTATTTTGCAACGATGCACTGGCAAAAGTGTCGCTGGTTCCATCGCTCATCGGACTCTTATTATTTTCTTCATAATTTGGATCATGTTCAATGTGTTCCCACATTGAACCGCCGTCAATTGATATCGAAGTATCGGTTTGTTTATCATTTGCATGTTCATTATCTTGACTTTCTGATCCTAAATGGACAAATGTCGGCATGTCGGATTCTTCGGCATCTGACATTAGTACAATCACAGCTGATGTTGTTGACACAGATGTATCATTGAGCATGTCTTTTTTGTCGTCTTTTTCATTTGATTTATCTGCTTGCCTTTTGTCTGTCAAAAATTGATCCTTCCCCGGATGAACGTATGCCTTCAGGCAACCCATTAAGAATCCAAACGGCAGCAAAACGTCCATTAAACATAAAAACCTATACGAAAAAGGAAAAATATATACATAACGATTATATTATTTTATTGTAATTGTCGGAAAAAGGTGTACTAATACTAACCGCGCTGGACTCGGATCGAAGCCCATTTTCATCGGACAGTAAATTAAGAAAACGCCATCAGGTTTGCGTATTTTTTTATCGATACATTTCAAAGTGAGTGCCATGTTTAAATTGGCACCAGCACTATCACCAACCACCACTATTTTTTCGGCAGTGGTTCCCAGTACTTTTGCATTCTTGATTGCCCAGCAATATGCATAGAAAACTTCTTCTAATGCTCGTGGATATGGTGCTTGTGGCGCCAAACTGTAGTCAATTGATAAAATTGGGGCATGTAATCGAGCAGCCCATTCTCTCAAATAAACTTCATGAGATTTTGAACTCTGGGCCACAAAGCCACCTCCGTGACAATGGAATATCAGCGATTTTGATGGTGGATGCATGTGTTTCTTATTCCGTTCGCCAATCATACCGTCACGACGAACACTGGACAAAAGTCGCGCGGTTACTGAACCCACTCCCAAATGACTTGATGGAACTGGAATTTCTACCATCACTTTTGGATTTGCCACACTTTGCAGCTCAAGTGGTTCGGGTGGTATGGTTATCAATCGATTGACTTTTACTTTAACTCCAAATACATTGGGCAATGCATACATCAATTCACCTTCGGTGAGCGACCAAAATGCTTTGCAAAAATCAATACCAGCATATTGTGACAAATTCACAATTCGTCGAGCTCTTAGCTCTGGATTCCAATAGTATTTACCCCCTGTATACATCGAACTGGTCGCTTTCATTATTCGATTTCCATTATTGTTGTAAAAAATTTCGGAAAATCCGGCCAGACAAATGCCCAAAAACTTCATCACAGATTGCATCGATTCACAGTACTGTAAGCAAATAAAAGTAAATGTCACACAATAAATTAGTCATTGGCTTTGATTTACAGTCAAATTACGTAATCGTTGACCATTTTGATGGACTCACATGAAAACCGATACATCGTCCATAAAAGGAATACTGATTCACACAAGCGCTCGTGTTGAAAAGGCCAATCGCTTTATGATCTCCAAGCGGAAACAACGAACCAAATTCACTGTTCGTTCGTATTATCATTATTTGTTCGAGGCAACTGCATAAACTGGCTAATAAATGGCTACACGCTTCGATTTCCCTGGCGCACAAAAAAAAGAGAACGAAAAGAATTACAATCGGAAAATAGTAATCATTTTTTGTGTCACTTTTATTATCATTCTTTAGTAACACGAATTTGTCGTTTATTGTAATGGTTGTTGGCCAATAAAAATGGAAATACACAATAAAGTAGGCAAACACCATCGAATGTGTATTTAACAGTAATAAATAAATGATAATCGCATAATAACTTACTTCATGTACATATTTTTGCGAAATAGTAAATAGCTACGATTCTGTGCTATATATTTGGCAACTTTGAAATTGTGATTTATGCATGCTGAAATTGTTTTAACAAAGCTGCGATATCCATTGGCCGGTGTCACTTCATCGAAATCGTATTCATGCACGAACGTAGTTATCTTTGTAACAAATTGTCGAGCGATTGCAATATGATCGATAATGCCACGAAACGCACATAAAAACCTTTGACCTGTTTCACTATCATCACATTCAAAGTATTTTATGTTATTTTGGCAAATATCAATCAGGGCGTCGTAAAGTGCAAATGAATATGTGGCCGTTGATTGAGTTGCTGTGGTGGCTGGTGTCGGTCGTTCATCGCCGTTCACCGAAAATTCATCGGTGTCCATTGATAAATGCGTAAAACTTGAGCTCATTGTCATTTTTAAATTGACCATTGCTTGTGGTGCTGAATCTCGTTCCTTTGGCAACGACGATGATTTCTGGTCAATCATTTTCATTTTTGTTCACCTTGGCAACGACGACGATGATGATGATGATAATGACGAAGGTGATATTTTAATATTCCTTACCAATATTTTCTACGAATACACGCTTATATATCGTTTTGTCATAACGAAAGAGGTCGCAGTGCAGTTGTTTTGGTGCGGCACTCTATTATTTTTTATTGGTCAATGTAATTCAATTAAAAAATATGGTTCGATTGGTTTGTTTGCCTAGCACACAAACGAAAATAATTGACTTGAGCCTATAGGCGCATTCACGGCAACATTCTCTTTTATACTTGACTTAAATTCCATTCATTCATGTTCAATATGTTCTTCACTTCTTTTCTCGCTTTTTTTCCCTCTCACATTATCGCATTTATGCGAACAATTTAATTTGTTCGTATTTGCGTTGTGTGTATATGTTCAACACTTTGCTTCAGCGATATCATGCGGAAAAGGAACGGAAACTCTTTTACTGTTTACGCATAAAAATGCCAACGTACAGCATATATTGAATCGCCCACTGGTTTTGCCACTACTGCTGCTGCTGCTGCTGCTTACTTTTTTCTGCTCTTTCAATGCACTGTTCACACAATTATGGTTCTCTTCTCTCCACCTTTTGTGCCACTAAATTATTGACAATCCAAAGCCAACAAAGACAGTGAACTGAGTATACACTGAGAGGGTCCGTTTACTGAAGATAATGTCAAAGAGAAATTCAAATATATAATCGATATAATAAACATCTATTGAATTCCAGTTCAATTTCACTGTTGGACTTTAATCGCATCGTCTGTCTCTACGGCGCAAACTGTGTATACTAATTTGGAATATTTGCTGGATTTCTTTTTTATTCGCTCTTCTCTTTCGGTTTGTTTCAATAAGTAGAACGAATTGCAATGCTTTCAATTTTACACTTTCATTATATGTAGATTACGGCATTTTGCCACTCTCTGAACTCTTTTTATTAACCAACTATATTTATTTGCTGTGCAAGGTTTTTTTCTTCTGTTTTTTGTATCACTTTTTGATTAACATGAAAATAAAATGAACATATCACAATCGATGTCGATGCTCAACTGCGAAAGAAGATTCAGAAAATGTTAAACGTATGTCGATAAATGTGAATAATTCAATGGTTTGCAAGATTCGTTCGTGCTTGATTTCATTCGTTGATGCTCATTAAAAATTGCGCATCTTTTACTCGGGCTTATATTTCATGGAAAAAAGAGAGAATCTTTTGTGCAAAATTAAACAGAAGCTGGGGGTGCAGTGAAGATGAAAAATTGCCCAAATCATCATATGACATTTCAAAAAACGAAGGTTTTTCTAGGAATTATCTAAATCACTCCACAGCACATGTTATGTATTAAACAACACCACCTCAAATCGGAGGATGACAACACAAGAAAAAGGTCTTTGCACAAAAAACACATCGAGTTTGAAGTTTTGTGCATATCTATATAAGAAAATAAAAACACATACAACTTGCTTGAACCTACGAAGACGAGAAGTCTTGATACTCGATAATTATCCACATTTATTATGATTGGTATTATTAGACTATTTTTGGGAATGCCTTTTTTTCATCTCTCTCTCTTTTTTCGTTGAAATGTTTTCATTCGTGTTATTTTTTCATTGTTCACTCACACACACACACACACACACACAGTTTGCGTGCTCCATATTGCAATTTGGTGTATGCATCCATCGCATTGTATCTAACCAAAATACGACAACAGTTTTAAACATACATACAATTACAGTTCATTTTTCATAATTTACACGGTATGAAAATATTTGTTTGTTCTCATTTCGAGTTCGCGGCGTTGTGTATATATGCATGAAAAATGTATTATGACTAGACAATGATTGAGTGTGATGGATGGATAAATAAAGCGACGAAAAAAACAACAACAAAAAGCTAGCAACCAATTGAGAATAATAGCTAATCCGCGTTGAATAATAACGCAATGCACATTGTTCTCTGTTGTAGTTTTTTTCGCAGCAAATCCAATGAAATTGCAGATTTTACAATGGAATATTATATGATTGTTTTTGTTCGTCATCAATATTATTAACTATTTTATGGTTTCACTGACTCACACACATAGCATTCGGATGAATCAAGCACTCATTTCTGGCACTTTATTAATTTTCGATAAGATAGTATATAGGACAAATGCGTGCTAACTATTTAATCATCAAAACTATAGTTGGAAGATCACGACGCAGGAAAAATGAAATGAAAATTCAGTGGGCAGAAGTAACATATGACTCTCACTCAAGTCAAACAGAATGTATATATATATATATTCAACCTCTTTTTTTTTTGCCACTGCGAGATATTTAAATTAACATAAAAATTCTTAGCATATCTCTCATTTTATCTGTCAGAAAATATCAAGAAAATGAGAGACAGAGATAGAGAGGAAAATGAAATCACGCAATCTACGACGTACACAAAAATATATATTTTTTCTCTTATATTTTGGTCAAACTATAGATACAGTTTTGTCACCCGTTGCCACTTACACACAACACTGAACATTGGATAAACAAGCAAAAGAGCGCATAGTATGATTTTCAACAGTCATCAGAGTACGGTCGTTGTTCGCGATTCACAAAAATTATCATGCAGTAGCAACGGTAACGATGTTTCATACATACACAACCATCGAAATCTTTCTCGACCACACACAATACTATGTGAAACCAACCCGTTTTCATTCGTTTTGTGATTTTTTTCTTCTTTTCTTTCACATGTACAGAACGAATGACTGTATCACTCATTCAATCACAACAACGGTAATCGTTATTATTATGATGTAAAATAATATTTCGCCAAACATGTATGATTACTAACACCACACAGTATATTTCGATGTATATACACAAAAGTGACATGAGCCAACGTGCGATATTTCGTTCGCTCTCTTTCAGACAGAGATGTCCATAGTTCTCATTTGTGTTGTATAGTACAGTACAACTTCGATCCCGCATAGAAAACACCTGAATGCATACACTTAATATTTCATGAGTTCGATGCATTGTTTACTTTTAAATAATTTATCAAGAAAAAGTCCTTCGATTTTTCCTTAAAATAATCAATTTCTCATCAAAATGTATTACTTTCAAATGTGTTTTGTCATCGGCTTCGTACAAAATGATTTTTCCGTTACTGTGAACCGTCATTAATGAGCACAATTCAATTGACATTTCGCCGTGTTTGACACTTCTTGCGCATACACAGTCCATGTGCAGAACAAATAATAAATTGCAAAACATCTATTCGATGTGCATTTTTTTGTGTGTAAAATTTGGATGAAGTGTGTCATCAAATGAAATGCCAACACTTGGACATTTTTACGCTGAGTTCAGCCCAACAATTTATTTTACTAAACAAAAATCGTTTGTATTATATTCGATTTAAGATGGCTTTTAGATGTGTGTGTTTGTGAGAGAGAGAGTCTGTGATAATCAAGTAATTCCGTGACATACTCGTTTGTGCACCGTGTAAATCTGCGTGTGGTTTATTTTTCTGTTCATTCTTAGTGTTTCTCACATGACCTGCATGTTAAAATAGACAATGAATGTAGAGTGCGAATATTGGCGCACACAAATGATCAATTTGAAAAAATTACGGCCAACATAACACTAAGTGCGAAAATTGTATTGCTTCGAAAGCACACATATTTCGCCACACAATAATAACACAGAGTGCTTTATTTATGTCTCGTGATCACAGAAAAACATCGTATATACAATAATAAATCAACAGACACAGATCACACTTTATAGTTTAACTAAATTCGATTTAAATTGACAATTATTATTCAATTTTAATTGGGTTGTTTGTTGCCAAAGATAATATACAATAAAAGCGGAGAGGAAGTGACACTCAAACAAATTGCTTGGACTGCTGCTACTGTAATCAGATTCAAATGTTTGATTGTTTATTTGCGTAATTTGTAGGATTGTATATAAATAATGTGTCAATAAAAAGAAAATCAAAATAAATGACAGCCACGACGATGTCAACGCAATAAGAATTGATAAACAAATAAACCGGTTGGTAATCGAAAACAGTGTGTATTCCACAGTCAATGAATGATTACGGTGTGACAATAATTTTAGTTGGCGTTTAATCGATATTTGAGTTATTTACATTTAATTTAATTGCGGTATCCAGATTGAAGGGCACGAACGTGACCAAAATGGAATTTGTAGACGCTGATTCTGTTGATGGGTTAGTGTGAACATTTTCTTTCTTTTTAACTACTCAATCTGAAATGCTCATCTTCACTTCTTTCAATTTCAATGTTTTGATTGAAAATGTGTACAGTTACATAACAAAAGAATGTTCACACATTTCATATATGTTCTTTGTTGTTTTCGATTTCAGTCACATTGACACCGGTATCGATCTTATTGATGAGAAAGGAAATATTTTGAGAGGTAAAAATGTCGTTTGTTTTCATTTGATTTCGATATTTTTGCTGATAAATTTGTGTGTTTTTGCGTCGTTAAGATTCTCCGAATGCAGAATATATGTTATCGAGCAGTGATGACAATATTGTCGCCTATCGTATCGTACATGTGCCCGAAAAGAATAGCAATCAAACAATTCAAACCACATCAACAACATTGAATAATTCAGTGACGACGTCAGTGCCACAACAAGTACAATACATTGTGATTGATGGTTCAAATGGATATTTACAAGCTGTACCCACCACACAAATGACCGCTGCCACCGCTGCCAATGTCACCGTCGTTCCCACAACACCAATCAAAATTGAACCACAAAATGCCAATAATACTAATTCAAATACGTTAAAGATGCGCACATCCGTTGCGATTGCTCCAAAACTGGATTACCTGCCATCGACATCGTACGGCAATGCAACACCAACCAATATCACCTCAACAAAGCAAAATGTAAGAGCTATGCACAATCAAATGAATTGTATGTGGTTTGCTTTATGGCCATGATTAAATTACAAAGAAATTGATTTTATCGATTTCACTATCAAATGAACTATTTTTTTGAATCACGATTCTACTTAGTTAACTGATTTATTAGATTTTCGGTTAAATTTGTTCAATTTCAAGAGATTTAAAGTATGTTTAAATTAAAATTTATGACACAGACAAATGTTACCGATCCATTGGGATCATTTAAGAAGCGCGACGACCGACGAAGAGCCACTCATAACGAAGTTGAACGGAGACGTCGAGACAAAATAAACCATTGGATTATGAAATTGGGGGCGATAATACCAGCCGACGGGAGTGTAACGGAAATCGGTGACAGTGGTCGATTGAGCATAGCTGCTATCGAAGGTCAATCAAAAGGAGGCATTGTAAGTACTTGAGTATATAACCAATGGTTCACTTTTAATTAGCGTTTTTCTCTCTCTTTCTTCTTTATTTTTATAAAAAAGCTATCGAAGGCGTGTGAATATGTACAAATGCTACAAGAAAAACAAAGTACACGGTAAAGCATCATTAAAATCGTCAAAATTGAATGACATTCAAAACTAATCGATTTCCATTTACTTCTCCCATTTAGAAATGCATCATCATCGTCGTCGTCATCGTCGTCAGTCGACAATAGTACCCTTCTCGAACGGAAAAAATACGAGGACGAAATAGCACGTTTACGTGGCGAAAACGAATTGTTAAAGGCAATACTCATTAAAAATGGTATAAATTATGTAAAAGAACGAACTTCAATCAAATCCAATGAATATTCGTAGCTTTGGGATCAAATCGATACGTTTTAGAAAACAAAACAAAAAAAAAATGCATTAAAAATGTATGTGAGAAGGACACGACTGCAATGTGCATGTACAACAAATAAGTATTCGATCCTTGCGTTATTATTTCTTTGTGGCTTTGTTTTATAGGTAAATTTTTTACCAAATTCAAACTATTGTATATTGAAAGGCGTGTACAAATGGTATTTTCACACGCAGAAGTTGACACAATTATGTTCTTTTATCACTAAGTAGCCCAAGCAGTATGCAATGACCCAATACATAGAGAAATATGTGCCATTTTTTCGAGATAAGAAAACACAGCAACCGAACAAACGGAATTTTATTTGACTTTTCTTTACATCGAATCAATATTATAAGTTGAGAGAAAATACAAATTTAGGGATTAATATTGTATATTAGATGTGGGAAAAAGTGTTTATCTCATTTTACCGAAGCTCAAGATCTCCATTTCCACCTAGTTTTTATTATTTAATGATAGAGAAATTTAACCTCATCCCGCTTCCAAAAAAAGAGAGAGAGTAAAATTGTTGCAACCAAATTCATCTTATTAGCGAAACACAAATGTTTGTAAGAAAAAAACCAATAACTAGATTCATTTTAAAGTGGAGTTAAATTGTTTTAATTATACATATGTAAATAAGTAGAGAAAGTGGTTATCTTGTTATCTCGAATGCAATAATAAAAATAAAACGAGTTGAATAAGAAAGAAAAAAACGATTTTGTTTGGGGATTTTCCACTCATTTTGTTGAAGAACATTTATTTAGAGCACAAAACATCAGCAATTTATAAATACATCTTCGTTGAAACAATTGATTCTATTTTATTCAGCTAAATTTATGTAAATATTTGTTTGAAGAGAAAAGTCCGATTTTAGTATACGCAGCACAGTGAGCATGTGTAAACGTTCGCTCAAAGCGTATACGTCAGCGATATTGTTTCAAATTATACGGAAACGGATATAGTATATCTAATTTGTATAGTTTCTGTTTGTGAACAATCTCACATGTTAACATCCATTTTCTACTACTTTTAAAACTTAAAACCAATTAAAATTGTTTGTTGTTTGAATGCGTGGAATGAAAAAAAAAATCCTTGCCATCCGAATCCTTGATTTGCTTTGCACTTGAATTATGTAAATTAATGATTACAAACGAACGAAAAAAAAATAATTTCATTTTGCAAACACCTATTGCACGACCAAAATTCATCACCAAATTTGACTTCTCTACTCTTGTAGCCAGAAATTGTTTTGACTCTTTAAACTGATATAATTAAAATAAAATGATTTTTAAATTATATGGTGATGAGAAAATCTTTTGACTCTTGCCCATTGTAATATCTTATCGGGTATAAAAAACACGGTAGTACAATGTTTTCGATCGCCATAAACTGTACGAATTATCGAATTTCAGCAAATAGACTCCTTCGCCTGGAAAGATTGTGACATGGACATTGGTTTCATTAATTGAGGTAATGCTTGGGAGTAGGTAAATTATTGGTCGTACCTGGATAACTGTGACTTCCAACATACACTTCTAATTGACACTCACGCCGATAGACGGGAACCACACTTGAAATCGGAGGCCGAAAACGTGCCACAGGCGATGGAGGACCATTTGTTACACCATTTCCACCTGATTCAATATCGTTACTTTGTTGAAGCTCAACTGTGCGAGAGAAAGAGAAAAAAACGTCAAATTCGAAAATGTTTAAAAGTTTTAAATTAAAACAAACCTTCATCATCATCATCTTCTTCTTCGTCATCACTATCACAAACTTGCACTTGTACTTCGTTCGATGAAGATTTTCCCCATTCAAAATATACACCAAAACCAATGTCATATCCATCAGTTGCAAATTCCCAGTATAAACAGCTTCCGCCTTCATGGGTCGGAACGCGAACAGTTACAATGTCACCATGGCCAACCTAAACGATAAACAAAAGCATCGTTTCATTAAATAGATCAAAGAGACCAATTGTTAATACTATCCATGTGATATATCGAATAAACTCACTTTGATAATGCCTTCGCCTTTGCCAGCCGCAACTTCTGTTTTGAATAAATCGATATCTGGTTTCGTCCACATTTGTGCTGCCTGAATCGGGGGAAATCCATCCGAATCCATATCTTCACTTTCACATTCCTCTTTAACATCACATTGACTATTTTCTTTTGGCGATAGACTCACATCAGCATTGACCGCACTATTTGCAACCACTTCATTGCTTGCCTCCTGACAGTTCAATTTTTCATTTTGTTCGGTCGAAATTTGTGCATGCAACTGTTGCATATACTGATGATAATGTTCAAGTTGCAATTGTCTTATCAAAACCGCTTGTTGTTCTGGATTGCCTGGGTATTGTTTTTCAGCATATGCGCGAAATTGCACATAGGTCTGTTGATTGAGAGCATCTTGTAATTTACGTTTTTGAAGCTCTTCACGGCTTTTCTGTTCGTCCAATAGTTTTCGATTGATTTCCTGTTGTCGTTCAAGTTCTAATTGTTCGGCCCGTCGTCTTTCTTGCTCTTGGGATAATCGCTCTTTTTCTTCGCGATCCTTTTTAATGGCTTCCACATATGGTTTGAATGCTGCACACGACCGATCCAATAAATCGATAAAACCTTCCATCGCTTGTGTTTTAGTAATAGTGCCCAAATTTTGCCACGCAACACGCCGATCACGACCGATTACATCGAATGCGCCAAGCGGTGGCAGTTCAACCGATGTAATTGGACCGTGTAATGCTTGTTGCGAAAATGCGACCAATTTCAAATTATCCTCATATGTGAACTGTACGGCTTTTCCAGCTTTTTCTATTTTAACGACAGACAATATAGAACCAACATATAATGATTATTTTTTTCATGCTGATTAATCGCTTTTTCCCCCTATGAATTGGCAGTTATCAGAAGTAGAATGTTTGTTGTTGTTACCTTTGTAAAAACTCAATGCATTGCGATAAAGATCCGTGAGAGACCATCCCCATTTGCTATCATCATTACTAATAATCGACATATCGTTCAAACGAGATTCAATTTGTTCCATTTTTCTGTTGTTTTTTTTTTTTTTTTGTCTAAATAAAAATGTTACACTCAATCAAGAAAATTAAATTTTAAATTGTGTCGTAGGTTAATATTGTCACTAAACTGGAGCAAAATACGACAGAAACAAATGTTCTGGATACAACAAAAATGGCATATCAACACGAATTAGCTACGTTTGATGTTTTTTTTTTCTTCGTTTTGACGTTTTTTATGTGGGTATTTGTGTTGACGTTTCTGACCGATTGGTATTACCGTTTGACACATGTACTAAAATCGAACTCGATTATGAAATCGTGACGTGATTGTTTTTTTTCGTTTTTAAAGAAATTCAATCGAATAATTTCACTTAGATGTTTTCAAAATAAAAACGAATTTCATGCTTTATTTTCAACATTTTATGTATCATATTCAACACTATCGTATGCGGTTTGAACTAAATGTTCAATATGTGTGCGTGTGTACTAAAACGTGATGTTGTGAAAATGTTTTGTGCAATTTTGTTGTCCGTATTGACAGAATGATATGATTGTGAGCGCTATAATAATCTCCAATTGTGTGTATAGCCGATGATGGTCGAAAAACCGACGAGACTGACACAAAAACATCGAGGCAAAGCCAGACGGCGATTTAGTTGAAATCGAAGCATACATACTGCATCACGCACATTTCAAATTGTGTTTTGTGGGGTATTTATTTTATTATTATTATTTTGTGTTGGCTCTATGTTGTTCGAAATTAAAAAAACAATATTAAAGTGGCCGCGCAACGTGAAAATAATTAACCTTTACCAATGCATTAATAATTAAGTGTAATTTGTTTTGAGTTCTCGTGCTGATTTTTTTTTTGTTGAACGACCTGCATTTATATAGTGCTCAAAATTCTAATCAACACACATGATCTCTCTTCGACGGGTAATAAAATTGGTTGCAAATAATTTAAAATATGTATTATATGCACGTATATCAAAAGGAGAGAATGAAATATTCCTTTGAAAAGTTCGTGTGTTCCGTGTTGTTCTAGTTTTTGTCGCAAATTCACAGCAAATTGGCAAACTTCAAACTTCGTTGAATGATTGAACATGCTAATGAATATTAATTCAAAATCCATGGAAATGCAAAAAAGAACACCACATAAAAGTATAAATCCGCATGTGAATTTGTTCTGTAATGTGTATGAGCATGTGTGTGTGCGTGTGTGCGTGCATTAGTAGTGAATACATTTTTAAAATGTAGAATGGGATTTAACGAGCATTAAATTATGAAGGGAGTAAAAAAATCTGTCGAACACCTTAGTGGCTACGCTCTCTTCGTATTTGCTTTAAAATATTCTAAACATACACGACCAGCACCACACTCACTACACACTTTGCTCAACTAACGAATAGAACGTTTTTTTTTTTCGTAAGAAAGTTTCTCACACTATTTCATGATTTTAAAACTTAATCACACACCACGTTTTTTTTCGTTTTGTTCTCAAACTCGCTGTGTGCGTGGTGTAAATGTATTTGTGAGTGTGAGTGAGACAAAAATAACATCAAATACACGAAAGCAAAAAAAGGAATCAGAACCAGCTCTCCTCTGCATTTAATGACTACATTGTAAAAATTGTGTGGAAAAACAACTAACATCTCTCTCGTCTATTGTGAGTGAAGTGAAAAAGAAAACAACTGCAAAATATACAACACGCGTCTATTTATTACTCCATTTGGGAACACTCTATCCACAAAATTGTTGTTATTGCTATCTTGACTACACCTTATAAATTGTTTGGATGTCTGTTTCTCTTTCAATTCAAAAGTGTCGCATGACCTCATCTCTCAAAGTCTTCTTTTGCTATTAAATCAATGATAAACGATCATCAGAATCCGCATACACTCACATCATCTGCATTAAAGCGATTTAAAGTCAATGCGCTGCAATTTTTAAATTTAGTTCGAAACACTTTGTGAAAAAAAAGAAGAATCAGATCTATTTTAATGGACTCGGAAAACATGATTTAGAATGCTACGTAAATTCGATGGAATTGCAATAAGACAGAAAAACGAAATTCTCGCTCTAAATGCCGTCGAAACGGTCCCGAATCCGGTTCAGTAAGCAAGTATTAATTGCCACCGGGAAAAATACTTAGTTTATTTAACGCGCGCACATATAGCAATTGGTTGTTTGTGTTTGAGTGTGCCTGTGCATTCAATTTATATTTTGCATGTGGGGCTTTTTCATGTGACCTATCGTGTTTGTGTTCGATACACTGCAAAAACGCCGTTCATTTGTAATTGTGAAGTGCAGTTCTTAAGTGATTTTAATTTGATGTGTTCTATTCTCCCGCGATAAAGAATCGCTGCAAAATGGTTATTATTTTTTATTTTAATTATTCCATTATTGCACGTTGAAAAATGATTGAATGAATGAATACACGTACACTATGAACGAGCAACAAATTGACGAGCTCATACAAAGTTATTGCTGATTGTATCCAATTACAGTTTTTTTTCTTAGTTTCCGTTCATAACACATTCATGACACTTTTATTTCATTTGCTAACTGTTTACATAACGTTGCGACGTTGCATCAATCAAAAATAGCATATTTATTATCAAAAATCATCAAACATCCATCAATGAATTCGTGAAACGATAAAGATAAGGCACAGAATGATTTAGAGCATAATCGGGATTGTTTAGTGTGAGGTGAATAAATTCCATTCAAGTGTAATTGGTTTTCGGTGTGCTAAAATCGTCCGGTTGAAAATTTTGATGCGAAAGTAAAAAAAAGAATCATTTCCATTTTATTATTATATAAGATTATAGATTGGCGTAGCGTTGACCGTGTGTTCGGCAATGAAAATGCGTCGTTTTCTTTTCGCTGTATTCGTGTGTAGACCGTGACTGACGACGCACCTTAGTCGGTCTGTTGACAACATTTCACTTTCATTGTTCAGTGACGGGCATTCATTTGCATTTGATGACGGATTTATGCATGAATTATCATCCTTCTGGCCATCTTCATTCGCTGTTTAACCAAGATATCGAATATAAGTCAAACAAACTTGACGAAAATAAACGAACTTAAGAACCATTTTCATGCAATATAAACCGATGTACTATGTGCGTGCCAACAAATCGATTTCATTTGCATTCGTAAAGAATTCGTGAATCATGAGTACGTGAGTACATTTTAGATTTAAATCGCATGAAGATGTACAGCTGACCGAGTATTATATCCATTTGGATGAATACAATGTTAAATATTTTGCTTTTTCACGATTATAAATACAAAAAAAGCACATGATTTTATCACGCACACAGACACATATCGAATAAGTTGTTACTGTGATTCATGTGACCGATACTGCTCATTAATGTAAATACATTTTCACTCATTGACAGTGAACTTTTGATTTATACGATGATGAAATTATTTAAATTTGACACTTGTATGTGGTTTTATGCAAATAGTGTGTTGAATTTTCGCTCCAAGTGTTTCGATTATGGCCAAGTTTTCATTTGATCTTGTAAGACAATGACGACGACCTTTGGATACATTTCGACTTAATGCAAACAAAAACAAAAGTCGCCTAATCACTCAAAGTCTTGGCCTTATAACCAAATTCTCAAAACAATTAATTCAATGTTATGATACTAAATACACGTTCACTCGCATTGCCTAAATCGCACACCGAAGACGCGTTCAATTGAACACGTACACTGCGTTCAAAAATAAAAACGTACATAAGTAATATTCCGAGAAAACATAGAATGGTAAGCAATTGCCCGTTACGATGGTTGTTGAAGGTCATGCTCTCATGTAAGCCTGTTCACTGCACAAACTTAGGCTTCAAACAATGTGATTATCTTGTAAAAACATGATAATAAACACCGATAAATAGTATTGGACAAGAAAAAGTTGAAAAGTCGTTTTAACATAAATTCGGCTTGAAATTGGTTCTGTTCCGAACACCTAAATCCAATTTAAAATGTATGCTCATTATCGCAAAGTGCTTCTTTATCGCATAGAGTGCATCCCTTTGGGTCATATACATATATAAGCTTGTAGTAAGCGGTGAATTGAATTCGAATGACAAAAGTGATACAAAATCGATATGTGCCATTGTCATAATATATCAGATGCATATAAATAGACATGTTTTTTTATCTGTCGTTTAAGTTGAAAACTACATGCAGTTATATTGAATTCACGATATTCTGATATAGCACAAGTATACAGACACGGTTTGTCGTTGAAATCGTCAATTGCAGGCAATTTTATTTCGGAAGTATATACCGCAAACGGAATGCTAGACTATAGCTTTAATGCTCATAATATCACTTAATATTGATATAAAAAATTGAAAATAATTGAAAGCAGTCATATTCAGAGTGCGGATGATAGTAAGGGAGAGAGAGAGAGAGAGAGATAGGTACGTGGCACTCTCTCGTCTAATAATAACATATATGATATTGTGCACCCAACAATCAAATGAGTGGGTCAAGCGAATGCATATCACATTGCAAATGTAGACAATAGTTACCCACTCTAACCACTTTAGAGTCGTTCATAAAGATTCTATGATGACGTAAGCAGTTCTTGTTTGCTTCGCTGCTTTACACAGATGATAAAAACCACGTGCATACAACAACAATTATACCGAACAAAAGTTTAAAGAGATTTTCTCTTTAGATTCTTTGTAAAAGCAGCAAGTTTACTGTTTAAAACCGCACATCAAACCAATTATAAGGATGTAATCCATTATCTTTACCGCACATATAAAACTCTATTGCTTTTATGTAGTTCAACGAACGTGTTCAAAGGCATCATTTGCACTGAATGATAAGGACTTAAACTACTTGCAAACATTGGGAACAGTTCTCATGTGAAAATCCAACAGTTGAAATTTAACCTTTTCATGATTCGTTATTCATTAAATTATTCAAACAACAACTTGCTACTATCAAAACTTATAAATGGTTGGAAATTGAAAAATATATCGAAGTTATAATTTGTGACATTTTACAAACTGATTAAAAATTTTGGATCTAAAATGGGATCCATAGAAAGTTGAAAATCAAGTACAAAAATACCGATTTTAGTTAATTCAAAACTTAATTACAATTAATGATTAATTGTTGCCAAAAGCCAAAAGATGCCCGAAATTAGTTGACTTGCCAACATTGTTGCCTAAGGCAACTTAAATATTTTTGCTCGAATTCTGTTTTAGTTGAACTTTGATTACTTGTTAGTTTAATTTATATATTCACAGTTAGTTAGTCAGTCACAAAGGAAATCGTTTATTTTCACAAGGGTAATCATTTCAATTGCGCAACAAAACCCATGAAATTGAGAAGAATAAGGCAAAAGAAGTGGGCGACTATAATCCAAAAGCATTCATCTTAGCTTACGTGTGCAATTTTTGGTTTATGTGTGTGTATGAGATAAGCCGCGTCGTTATCGACAATATCTTCTTTGATAATTCCGTTCCAATGATAAGATATCAAAAGATGTGAGACTCAACAAAATGTATTATTGACCAAATTATTTTGGCAGTAAATCCAATCAATTTTCAAATAAAAATGAAATCTTGGCCTAATGGGCCAATAAAGAAAATGGATTTTTTTTTGACAATGGAGTTCATGGCCATTTAAACGTATACATTCGATTGGCGAATACTTACAAGCCCACGAATCTTTTGAAATGAAATGTTGGCATCCTGTATACACTTGAAAATATTTTCTAGCAACTCAACAAATGGGTAATCTCACTTTTTCAAACATATAAAATGAAACCAAATACAGAAGCACTTGATATTATGAAATGCTTGCTTGTGGTAGCAAAAAAATGTTAAATTGACTATAAATTCCACATGGCACTATTCCAGTTGCATGAGCACTTTCGCGCATTTAAATTTAATGTTGTTGCCAAATTATAAGAAATCGAATTGTTTTTGTAAATTCGTTTGGCATCAAATCCATTTTTTGCGGACTTATCATGTTTTCGAGGAATTTCAACAATGGATTTTGTATTGATATGATTCATGGGGATTGTATCGAATGATCAATCGTTCGTATCTGATGTTCAATCAATTGAACTTTGTAATATTCATTTCAGTGTAAATAACGTTTTTTTCATAGCAGGTGGTGACACAAGCATATCAACGATGTCAAGAGTGCACAATCAGAAATAAATAAATTACGTTTTGAAATCTAACTAACGAAAGCGACACACAATGAACAAAACAAATCTCTTTTCGTTGTTGTTGTTGTTTTTGACACTTTTCGACCTTAGCTATATTTAAAATCAAATACACATAAAATTGATTTTTTTCTATTTTCTTTGCCTTTATTTTTATTGCCAGTGATACGAAGTAGACACGCGATATATTTAAATTTCAAGGATTCAAAAAGGATATCGAGCATCCAGCGGCAATCATTGTTCATTGCGTCGATTTAAGTGATTGTGTTGTTTTTTTGTTAGAAAATCGATATACGAAACGAATACATATATCGTCCGATGAATGTAAGAGTTACCAAAAACATAAACCAGAACGAGAAAATTGAAGGAAAAACTGAAATGTAAATTGTACACAGCGTTGAGAGTCGATTGTTTTTAAATGTGATATGGATTACAGAAACAGTGCTCAAAACAAACAAATGGTGTTTTTCAAATAGACAAAGAAAAAAATTTTCAAAATTATCGTCTGTGTGCATTATACAGCATCAATAATCAGACGAAAACGAATTATCGCTTTGTTAAAGAGAGTATTCAGTTTTTGCTCTGGAATAAAACACAACGGACCCAGAAAAATCACGCACTCACCAAGCAACGTGATTGCATTTCATTATTTTTTTATACGCTGATATCAGTTCATTGCTCGAGACGTGAATGAAAGCATCGTAATCATATCTAAAATGACGGAGTGGTGTCAAAAGTAAGTATGATTTTTTTTTTTCGAGATTATTGTCTCATGTATGTTTGGTACTTTCACAACTCTTTTTGGGTATCTAGTCGCCTTTAGAATCGATTTGCTAAACCATATGTTTGTCATAAAATCTTGTTATGTGTTGAGATAAGATCGTTATTATCGCTTTAGATACGCCGCCGTATTTAACATTCGTCTTTATAGCATCCCTCATTGGCATTTGACACGCAATTTTCTTATTTTCCACTCCTCTAACATACGTTCAAAGCAATGTTGACATCCAATTTCGTAGAAAATGGAACCCTTCTGAAAATGAAGCGAAATCTGAATGACATATGTAAATAATGGCATTTTTCTATTACGTTTTTAACTGAAGTTTATCAAAACCCATATTCTTGTAAAAAAAAACGTTGCATTATCAATTTCGTCCGAAATGAGTTCTCTCGCGGCAAATAATTGAAGTACATTTCTGAGAATCATTTTTTGAAAACATTTCTGATATCATTCTGAAAGGCATTTGTGATTTATTTCGAAGATTTTTATGATTTCATTTCAAATTCCATATAAATTCCGAAAGATAACTGGAAAAATGTAACCCGATATTATTTGGTCAAGAAAATGTATTATTCCATTCGTTAATTTCTATGTGTTTTATCAATACAGACGATATGCGTGTTTGCTAAATCGATACAGTTTGCTGTCAAGCGTGAAAGTTAATTTCATAGATCAAATGTACATGGGTATCGTCTAAAAGTGTAACGAATTTAGTGTACAATTTTAAATTACAATGCTATTCCACATAAAAGGTTTGCCTTTTATTGTTACCCAAGTATGTATCAAAAATTGACGAAAAAAATCAATGAATCGATAAAAATAAAGTGTTAGTAGCAATACACTTGCGATTGCAAGCACACGATAACATTTGGTGGATCATTTATTTAACATTTTGGCCGGAACGATACTGAGGTCAATTCCGAAGTGGATAATTAAAAACATTATGTGTGCAATTTATTTGGGTTTGTGTGCATATGTGTGTGTGTGAGAGAATATGTTTTTATGAAGTAAATTATCGTTTGATTCGGGCCACACTTTGATCTCTATTATTTAGGTTACTCGGCCGAAATTAATGTAATAATTATTTTATTTATTTTGTTCTTGTCGTCTTTTTTTTCGTTTGCTTACAGATTATTTATAGTGTATCCAAAAGCCATAGTTCGTATAGCAATTGTGATAGTGAACAACATTTGTTGTATACCAACATATACATTATGGATGCTTCTGTTGTTACCGCTTAAGCGATTCAATGAAAAATTATACTACAAAATAGAGGGAAAATTTTTCCATTGGATATTGTCGGTGGTTGCGATGTGGTCGTGGTCGGCCGGCTATGATGGTAAGTGCGGAGGAAATATTAAATCAATTATCGATAAATGTTTTCCCATCAATAGCGTGCTATCAAAAGTAAATATGATATTTATCGATTTATTTATGGTTTTTTTTGTGTGGTGTTCAATTTTTAGTGGTCGAGACGGGTGATGATTTGACACCATGTCAAGAGGAGGGCACACGAACACTGCTTCTTGCAAATCACCAAAGTACCGCGGATGTTCCATTATTTATGGCATGTTTTAATGCTAAACCAGATGTTTTACCACATCTTATGTGGATCATGGATCGTGTTTTTAAATTTACGAATTTCGGCATAGTCAGTGTGTTGCATAGAGACTTTTTTGTGCAAGCGGTAAGAGATAAATTTACATTTCTCATCCAGAAAAATGAATTTTAATTAACGGAAATTCAAATATGTTTGTCATTAGGGACGAAAAACGCGTGATGCAACCATAGAAAATTTAAAACATCATTTACGTGATACATTTTTACCGTTGGAGCGACGCTGGTTGGTTCTATTTCCCGAGGGTGGTTTTCTGCGGAAACGTCTTGAGGTGAGCCAAAAATATGCGGCAAAAAATAATCTACCCATATTGAAAAATGTGACATTGCCACGAATCGGGGCGCTCAAAGCAATCATGGAGATTATACCACCACGCAATTCTATTGGAAATAATAATGCAGCCAAACGCATCGAAAACGGCAACAACACCGGTCGACCATTCGGAAGCCAAGGTATTATAACACTGTTATTTATGTTGATCGTCTATTTTACAGGATATCCATTCTATGGAAATTTCAATTTTATTATGGAAATTTAATTCAATGTTTTTTTTCTTCTTGGTAATATAGAACACATTTTCCAGTATCAGAGCAAAAAAGATGACGACACGGATGGACCAAATCTTGATTATGTTTTGGACGTTACCGTAGCTTATCCAGATCGGATACCACTTGATTTACCGACAATCGTCACCGGCTCCCGACCACCATGCAAAACACATTTCCTCTATCGTCTTTATCATTCATCGGAGGTGCGTTCTTTTTTTGAATTTTTGTTTCCGTTTTGAATTCATCGTCAATTTGTGAACACTATTTGTTAAACTTTGCATATTACCAAACAGTATTGACTTATTTGCGATTGTTTGATTTTTGAAATAGATACCAAAAGAGGAGCAAGCCTTAACACAATGGCTTTTTGATCGATGGACTGAAAAAGAGCATTTACTTGAAGAATTTTATCGAACCGGTCAATTTCCGCATGCATCCGCATGTCAACCAACCGTTGTCGAACAAGATCTACTACGAATGCTAATAATTAATCTATTCTTTATGACGTCCTCGTACGTGCACTATAAATTATTTTATGTAATTCTAAATAGCTTTACTCTGTAGTTAGTGCCATTCAATTTTAAAAAAAAGGTGAAACACATGCACACGCACACCAACTGTATTAAGAGAAGAAAAAACGGGAAAAATCCTTGTTTATTTGCAATGTTTGCGAATTTTTTTATGTTCGTACGAAATGAATGATTTTTGTATATTTTAGCAAGAACCAATAAATTCAGATCCGCAGTCCGGATAAGCTTTGTATATTTTAGCCGATGACCAATTCTTCTCTTATTCTTAATGCGACCTCAGACCTAAGAATCGTGTTGCATGTACATTTTTTTCTGTTTTATTTTATCGAAAGGAGAGTAATGATGTTTTTAATAAAAAAAATAGGCTTAAGTAATAATACTAATACTTTGTCTCTTACGTACAAACGGCAGCGTATTCGAAATAACACGTTCTAAAGAAAATCGATTGATATATGGATTGCAAACTAGTTAGATCTAGCACAATGCAACACACACAAACACGCAGTTAGATACCTTTTTATTGCAATAAGCTCAAAACAAATTCATTTAAACAGTTTGTTGTGTTTTTTACACTCAGTAAGGATTTTCTTTGTTCTTTATCTAACCTGACTGAGTTGATAGTAGATTTCTATTCTGGCACACTCGAACAACAGTGGTCGCAAAATAAAACATGGTTTGTGTATAAGAAGCGTATCGTTAAATATTCTTCGTTTGAATTTTTGAAATGTATTACATGTTTTATGCATAAAGATCCAATTTATCTTATTCAGACAATGAATACTATGACATGCGCTCCTTTATAATGTATACGTATCGCTAACTGTAATCATTTGTAATTTGATTTGTAATACAAGAAACAACACATATACACAAATGCTGAATAAATATTCTTATGGTATAAAATGAAAATGGTGTGTGCTCTTTTATTGATTTTAAATCCCTCGAACGATGTTACAATTAAATTGAAATATGGACTCGAATATACTTGGAATATACTTAAAATGCAATTATTGATTTACGTTTCATGGAACATTTTAAATTTTCAAACCGGATACATTAAATTATGAAAAAAATGGTAATTACCATAAATAAAGGCAAAAACAAAATTGAGAAAGAATTAAAAAAATATCTACCCACGATCATTACCTTATCATAAAGTCCATATCGATTTGTTTGTTTACTTGTAAAATGTTCGCCAGAAACCATTGGCAACATGGCAATTATTTTATTTGATCGATATTATTGCAGACGTAGTTTTGAAATGGCCGCAGTAAGTAAACCGTTCGAAACGAACGGAGATTCAAAAGAAGTTATTTTGGGTAAAAAAATTGTTGAATTAAAAAAACGATTGGTCTTGTCGGGTATGTCATTGATTAAAAGATATTTTTCGGTCGATCAAAATTTAATTTTAAACCACATTTGAATTTGTTTTCAATAATTCACGATTTGTTGGACAAATTGCATGCAGAGGGTCAAAAAAAGGCGACACACGAAGAATGGGATGGAAAAGAGAAAAAAAGCGTGGATACGATTACCGAATTGAAAAAACACATAAGAGAGCTGACTACACGTTTGATTAACCACATAAATGTGACCGATGGAAAATATTCGGATGATCCATGTGCAGCCATTCGAACCGTAAGATCCAAATCGGCAGTTTAACTTTGAAGTGCTACCATATACGACAGTAACATACCCCATTTAGGTAACATACCCCATTGGCGTTGATTCGGCACACAAAGCGCTCGAAGTATATGACATACAGATAATCAATAAAACTAAGAAGTATGATTTACTTGAGGCTGAATTCATTCGACAAAAAGAAGAATACCATAAACGACAACGACATAAGGCCGAATTGATAGCCATTCGTAAGGCGGAAAGTGGTGACCAAGCCAATCAACATAAAACCAAATCAAAGTCAAATCGACAAAATCAATTTCGAACAAACCATGCTCCGCTCACAATCGAAGAGGATGAAAATCGTAAATTAATCGTTCATTTGGAAAATGAAATCATTCGAATTAACATGCAATGGTCGCAAGCCGAACATATTCGTAAAAAGTACAAATCGATACAGGCGTCGTTGATGACCGACGCTGAAAAATTTGAAAAAAGTTTAATCGAATTGGAGGAAGCGCTGCGACAACAAAATGTTGATATTGAAAAAATGAAGGTTGCTGCAACGAATATATTTTGTATTAGGTAATGGTACCAAATATAATGGGTATTTTTTTACTCCTCTTGGATTCAGGAAGTGAATCGTGAAGCACTACATATGAGAGATGCCACAAAAATCATCTGCGTTAGGCAAGAGCACAGCGCACAGACATCCACGAAGGCACGACAAAAAATGGCAATCGATTTTCGGCAACAAGTGGAAGACCATAAAATTGAATTAGAACGACTCGAACGGAAATTACTGACAACAAGTATATAATCAAAATCGGTTTCACTTCAATCACACATATGGAAATGCTATTTTGATTTTCATTTTTAGCCAAGACTATTATGCAACAGGGCAGCACTGAATCGTTAAATGAAGTCCCATTATCGGATAAATTGGAAAGTGCGCGAGGATCTGGTGATATTGTAAATGAATTGGAAGGTCGATTGAAAGTTTTAATGCAAACAACCGGAGCAACGAGTCCATCCGACCTTTTGGAACGATTCACCGCTCAAAAGGAAGCAATGCAACGTCTCAATTATTTGCGTACCGTTACTGAATCCGAAAAGAAACATCTTGAACAACAAAGAGACGGACTTTCATCGCAATTGGAGCAGCTTAAATTTTCCGATACAAAAGAAAATGAAGTGTAGGTGTTTTTGACAGCATTTTGTCACCACTTAGAAATTGACTATTTGATTATTCACAGAAATCAAGAATATTTAGAAGAATTGAAGAAAAATATTGCTGAAAAACAAGCCAAAGAGAATGAACATTTGCAAGCGTCAAAACGCACAAATGCCGTGCTTAGCTCAATCAAACAAACAATAATTGATTTGATACATAAATTGGAAGAAGTTTATGTTACAACAACAGCCTCGGTCGATATTGAGGCTAACGAATATACGCCAAACAATACATTGTTGCAAGTAAATTGCATTTTACAATTAATTGAAATTTTGCATGTTTCTCGTTTTTGTGTTGCGTGTTCAACTCGAATTTGCGTTCAATTTCTGTAGATGCTCGAAGAGAAGCTTAAAAATGGTCTGAAAATGATTGGCGAGTATATTGGTGATGACGATAGTGGCCTTGATGTTGACACTGAAGCACTCGAAATGGAAGGAACAGAGACCATTGATCCAGAGAAATTGTGCTTCAATTTGAAGGTGATTTTTGATTGATTTAGCTTTCCTTTGGTATATTTTCATTGAATTCTATCAATTACTACAGTTGCCTGAGCTTCTAGTTCCATTTATATCATCAACAATGGCAACACCGCGTTCGGCCCGTTCGCATTGCGAAAAAACAACATCTGGTCATGAAAATGATTTGGAAAAATCAACACCATATCCAATGTGCTATGCAAATCTATTGGCGGGACGTTCGACTGGTATATCGACATCAACATCACCCGGCCAAACAGCTCAACCAGGTAAATATGCACATGGTGAAGCAGCGCACATTGACAGAAATTATTTCGCGCCAATTATTGTTTGTTTTCACAGCTGTTTCCGATGATGAAGCAGAAGTTCCATCGCGCGGTTTAATCAAGCGACAAGCATTGATATTGGTTGATTCGAAAGCAAGACGAAAAGGTTATCGTGCACCACCGAAACGAAAATAAATGAAAAAGCGCTCAACTGCCATTAACACTGAACTAACGAAATAAATGCGAAATAAAACTGCAATATGAAGTCTTTTTGTTTTCACATAATTACGTCATTTCTTTGTTTATTTTGAACATATGTAATTCGTTGAAACGACTGATGACACACATTCGAAGTTCGAAAATTCGAATTGGCATGGGGTGCGTTCATGTGTTAAACGAGTATGTTCGTTCGTCATGAATATGATTCATCATTTAATATGTTCAATGCTCGAAAAATACAATGCATTGCAAAAATCTTGGTAAATTAAAAAAAAATATTTAAAAAAAATCCACGAAAAAATTGTGTGTTTTAAAATAAAATCCACAAAAAGTAGCACTGTTGTGTCAAAGTGTCAATTATTGTTTCGAAATTCAACTATGGATCTGATATACATGTGTACACACGTATACTACGCATTAACTGAGAAATCGTAAAAACAGTGTGCGCGATAAAACAACAACAATACAACAACGAAGTAAACGTTCATTGTATTCTTATATGAAACGCAATAACACAGTTAACTACGCAAACACATATTTATACAGTTGTAAACATACAGTCACATTTGTTGGTTGCTTGTTTTTTCTTCTTCTCATTTCTGTTTCGTCCATTTGTGGATTAGTTGTGAGTCGTGTGTAAGACAGCAGAAGTGTTTCCCTTGATTTGATTGTGTGTTGATAAATATAAGCAAATCGGCAAAAAAAACGACGAAAAGAAAGCGCTATAGTGAGAAGGAATAGAGGGAGAGAAACACGAGAATTATTACAAATTAAATAATAGGCCATACAACACGTCGTATCTCTCGCTGCAGAGACTGTCTTCAATACTATTTGGCAATCGACAAAAATTGTCATCACGCGTTCATTGTGCATTACCATAGCAAGCGAAGTTATCGTTTGTGTATTAAGTGTCTAAAATTCGAAGCGTTTCTTCATTATTAAGCAAGTGAACACATTTTTTTTTGGGAAAAAGTTTGTTTCTGCGAACGGAGCAAAAGAGACAAAAAAACTATTCAAAATTATCAAATCTACTCGAATAACTTGTTGATCGAGTCGTTGTGTGCATCTTTATTGTGTCGACAAGTTAATTGATTTTGTTTCGACAAAAGAAGTCAACGCTTTATTCAGATAACGAAAAACGAAAGAAAAGGTTTTTATTCAAGTAAAATCACACTCTCGATTTTTGAAGTAAACATGTCGGAAGTAGAAAATTCCACAACAACAGACATTGATAACAATGTTCAGGTTAGTGTGCAAATCTCCAATTCGATTATTAAGTATACATATAGAATAGAAAAAAACCTCTATACACTACATTTTGTCCCACTCTCGAGTCAAAACCGAGAGAGAAAAAAAAAACATTATGAAAACGATCTTGAATTTCAACCATTGACAAAAATAATCGTCCAATTTTCAATTTGAATAGATTCCGGCAGAAGTCGATGAAAAAATTATCAAATCATGAAAAATGAAGGAAATTTTTTTTTCTTGGTTGTCGAATTACGCCATACAGTGAATTTTGAGCGCTTTTATATACGCTCCATACATATAGACATAAAAAAGTAAAATGTGTTTTATTCGATTTGATGTGTTAGAGTGTGAGGGCGATAGAGAGTGTATACGTTGTGTATGGTGTAGCGGTGTAGCGGTGTAGCGCCAAATTGAATGTATCCCAATGTGAACGAATTATGTGTACGCATTTCGAATCGTTCGTAGCAATGTTCCATTTGCATTTCTATGTATTACTTTTGTTGAATGTTGTGTTGTTCATGTGGTTTGTTCATGTGTGATGGATGTGTTTGTGTGTATGCGTGAGTTTTTGATATGGCGCGCTCAAACTGAACAAGAATGAATACACACATTTTTATCTTTATGAATTTTTGAATATTGTGAATTTAATTGCTTTCGATTTGCTGACGATACGAAGGGCATTTGGCATACTGTGCCCGCCATATTTTTGTACGAGCGCACGTACACAACAATTGAATTACATTTGTTACAATTAGCATGCTGCTAAATGTCGTAAACAGCGATACAAACGAATAAACGACTGAAAACAACAGAGACCATTAAATCAATTACTCTTCTTCTTCTTTCCTATTTTAATTTTCGTTTCTATTCGCTTCAATTTTGGTTGGTTTGATTTTGTTTTCGTTCCGTTATATAGAAATTCGATTATGTGAAACGAGATTGTAAATTTATGTGTATACAGAAAATGAGCGCGAGAATGTGTGTAGCACACTTTGTTTGGGTGTATTTGTATGGCGGTTGCATGATGTTTGTGTCGTGCTGTCTTGTTCATTGACTGTATGCGAAGCGGTAAAATGAGGACGGATTTCAAATAAGAAGATACTGTCAACAAAATAGTTTTTTTTTTCGTGCCGATAAAGCAACCATTGAATCGGCAACATCTTCACTGTATGACTTGTCTATAACGTGCTCCATGTCATTTTTAGTAGTTTTCTATTTCAGTGTCAAATAGTGGTGCGATACATAAAACACCATGCAATTATGATTTTGATGACGTTATTCATTTATAAGTGCATTTGAATGAATAAATGAACAGAATAATGTGTCCGTATTGTATTTTTTTGGAATATTATATTTCAAACACACACTGTTCATTGAAGATTGGACAAAAGCGCTTAATATTATTATATTTCAGTTTCTTTGTTCACAAAATGATATTCTTTTACATTGGCACCGCTATAAGTCTCCTTCGCACAGATACAGAAAAGTGATGATTATAGTTAAACTATGCGGTAGATAATTTGAATTTACTTGAACATATTTTTTCACGTTTCATAGCATCTAAAGGTCATTTTGAAACGACAATTAACTAAAACCACATCATTCCTGACACTTTGTAGAGGCATTCGCAAGTTGAAGCATCTTTTTTCTAATGAAATGTTTCGGAATCGTTTTTCAAGACGATTATTTAAAATGGTGCACTTTTAGAACTTGGACTAATTTACACTAAAATCTGTTTAATTTTTTCAACTAATCAGTTTAATTTTTTTTTTATTTCTTCTAGGAAACACCAAAATCAACGCCAAGAAAACGTTTGTCACGCGCCGAAAAGGCTCGAATTGAAAGTGAAGAACTGCTGAAGGCGCTCGGTGTAACAATGGAAGCAGGCCGCCAAACGAGGTCAAGTCGTCGCGGAACCAACACTGTTGAAACACCAAAATCTGAACCAGCAAAGCGCAAACAACCTAGCACGCCGCGTACAGCCAAAAAGCCAAAAGTCTTTGATATCGATCAAATTGACAGCACAAATCATGTGGAAGAAGGGAACAATGCCGACGCACAGGTAAATAATGTGATTTTTTCTGAGTAAATTCGTGAACTTTAATAAATAATTTTTTTCCTTCACTAGATTGCTGAAGCACCAATTGCAGCAAGTTCGGCATCAGCAAAAATCGTTCAAAACGATGCTGACGAAAAACCGGCTGCATCCCAATCGGTTTCAAATAATGGGAAAAAAATGGAAGTTGACGATCCAATGGAATGCACACAATCGGATGAACGAACACTACCGGAAGAAATTACACAAGCGAAAATTGTACCGCAACCGGAAATCATTGAAGATTCGCCGATTGATGATGAGCCACCAATCGAAGAAGATTCATTACCAATTACAAGCGAAGATGCACAACCATCAACGGCCGTCGAAGTCACCGAAATATTCGATGATGAGAATGTGTCCGCTTCAGCCGACACAACAGCACCACTTGTTGTTGACACCGAACCAATTGTTATTTCACCACCACTATCCGATTTCGAGAGCAAAGATGAACCGATTGAGTTGCAATCATCACCGAGTGACACCGATGAGACCGCCGTCACTAATTCACAAGTTGTGCCGGATGCAATTGTCGATTTGGAATCATCATCATCCAACGAAGGTGATGCAAAGAACGAAGCGGCTAATAATTCACAAGAGGCAAATTCATTGGACTTGGAAGTTATCAATTCCGATTCATCGTTGGGCGATGAACCACAAGCATCCAGCACCGAAGAAAAACCGAAACCAACATCCACATCAACAGCCGAAGTCACCGTCACAGAAACCAACGATACGGTACCAGTTGCTAAAACAAATGACATCTCGGATAATTCGGTGCATTCAAGCGAACCACCACAAAATTCGGTTGGATCCACAAACCAAAAATCCAGCCCAGACAATTTTCGCACCACAATTACATCAGGTATATTTCCATTTCGAATCAAATAAAATCAATTCTTTTTACATTGACTCACATTATACTAATGAGAAAAATAATTGCAGTTGACACCCCAATAGAGGAGACAATCACAACAACATCAGAAAAGTTGGTGCAACCAAACGCTACAACTGCGTAAACTACCAATTACCGGACACACGTGTGAAATAAATATGAAAAAAAAAAACGACGAAAAAAAATCAGAGTTCAGAAACTATCTATTTTAAAGAGAGTTTGCAATATATTTGATGATACATTTTAATGTGTAGATTTAACGATTTCTTATTGATTAAGGCGAAGAATGGATACATTTCTTCCACATCATTTTTGTTATTTGCATTTTGAAACAAAAAAAAGGTAACATTTTTCAGAATGAATGAAAAACAATTTAAAAATAATGAAGACAAAAACCATCTAAAAACAATTTGTTTTAAACAAACAAACGATTTGGTAATATACAAAACAATAACATGTACATGAACCAACTAGAGTTGAAATCTAGCATGGTTGATAATTTCATTTGAATTCAATTTTTCGATTCGATGAGAGCACGCACACAATGAAATTTAAAATACAACAATATTGTATAAAAATGCATGAAGAATACAAAATCGCATATTTTGCTTATTAAAGCAAGGTTCGGGCATGTAAAAAAATTTGAATTACCAATGGCAATATCAATTAATTCAATGAACAGACAGATCGAAAAGATTTTATTTTTTTAAAAAAGCACCGAAGAAATGCCATGATTCTTAACCATTTTGATAAAGAACGATTTTTTCATATTTTTTTTGTTATTTCTTACAGTAGACTTAAGTTCGATACCTTTTCTTGTTAGCACACTACAATTATAAGTTGAAGTTTGATCTTAAATAAAGTTACAAGTCAAAAATCGAATTGGTTTGTTGTCTAAAGCTCAAACACACTGATTGATATCAATCATTTCGTCTCGATTGAAGGTGGTTAAAAGCAAACACACACAAAACAATTCATTCTTACTTCATTTTAATGTTTTGTGTCATCAATTCAACCAAGTACAAAAACAAATCAATTTTCAGACATTACAAAAAACACACAAACACACACACACATACACACACACACAAAAATGCAATTTATCACATATTTTTTTATAAATGAAAATGAAGTCATATACGCCAAATGAGAAAAAATTTCAAAGACAAAAAGTGATTGAATTTATTTTTCTTATTATTTTGTTTTGTTTGTTTTTTTTTTTTTTGAAGAGTTACTATAGATTTTAAAGTCGTGTTTTTCTTTTGTAATTTTAAAATTAAAAAAAAACAGAGAAAAGATTAAATAAACTTGGAGGAAATACACAGATTTTGTGTTTGATTCGTTTTTATATGGTAAAAAGAGAAATCGTAAGTATACGACCAAAATCGTAATTTTTAATGCGTGAAAATCGCCAGTTTTGATCATGATAACTATCTTCCTGAAATACACGTGCATATCACACACATTCACTTATTTCAATTGCTCGTACCGAAAACACTAAATGAACAATAGTCACTTTTCAAAATTACAGGTCAGAGATTGACATTTTGAGATAAAGATTCAAGTGCAATTAAACCACAAGCAATACCAAAAAGGGTCACAGATTCATGGAATTCAGAGTAAAAAAAAATTCGATCGAAAAAAAAGAAGTTCTTACCTGGCTTTCAAAATGAATCGTAAGAATGCGGGTTGCGGGAGTTTTTCTCAGTAATACAAAATAATCCGATTTGTTTGAAAACAAAAAAAAAAAAACAAAAAATTTCGTGTTTGGTTAAAAATAAAAAAGTAATTTTATTGCTTTGTTTATTTCGTTCACTTATGTGGAACATAAATTGGTAATATTGGTCCGTTTTGTGGTTGATCTAGATAATTTTCTAATTTCTTATATATTGTTTTTTAAGTGCATTTTTCACTGTTGAGCATATCATTTTTGATTTCGTTCGCTCAAAAATTGTTTTTTTCTCTAAATAATTTTTTTTTGTCTCATTTTTTCCAATATACAATACGAATACGTGCGATTTTTCGCTTGTAAAAAAGAAACGTTGACAATTATAAAAACGAAAGTGTCCACACCACAAATGTGGATCTAACGAAAATGTCTGTAATAATCTCGGTCGGTTTGATTCCATCTATCTCTAGTTTTCCTAAAATATAAATTTTTTTTTTCATTATCAATAAGAAATTGCATTTTTCACTGTATAATATGTTTGAGCACATCACATTTTTCTTGCTCTGAATTTCTTTTCAAACATTATCTATCCCTAGCCTATATTCTCGGATGCTGTACTGTAGTTAAAACTACATCAAATCTAACATACAATATGAATACGTAAAAAAATACGTTAAATTATGAATTTTGTTTCGAATGGAACAAAACAAGAAAAAATAAACTAATTAAATGATATGTAAGCGTAAAATCGTGTAATTTTTCTTTGCCTAACAAGTGCTAACAAGCGACGCATTCAAATTTATCAATCGTCTATGCATTTGTTGCAATGGGGTTGCATAAAATCGTTGTACTCGGTCGAGTGTCTTCTGGTCCTCATCGAAACGCTTGAATTTGTTCGGTGTATGATAGTTGCTCTGATTGTGTATCGAGTCATTGCTACCGTATGCGGTAATAAAACTCTCAAAACTTGAATTAATGCTGCAATATGCGCTATGGCCCATCACTCCTGGCGATCCGCCGGATGAATTGCAACAACTTTCGAATAGTGATCTTTCCATTTCTTGGATTTGACGTTTCTTTTGCGATCTTTGCATCACTTGTAGTTGAGTGATGAGCGATTCGATATTCCGTTGTACTTTAATTGTACGCACCGAAATCGTATTGTTATTTGTTTTCATTTGGCGCATCGATCGCCGTGGTGTTTCGTCATCGTCGAAATCGTTATCTTCCGAATCCAAACTATCGTTCCATTGTGATTTTGATCGATGTTTTGGCGTTGAGGTTAGAGCATTGTTCAGTGCCATTCGACGAATCTGATTTGGTCGTCGTCGTGGTTTCACTGGTGTGTTGTATTGATTGCTGCTATCGCTGTTGCCTTCATCAGTCAATGAATGATCACGATGGCGCATTACCTTTGGATATGGTGAAGACGAAGGTGTCAAGCTTGAACTTTTGCGATAATTTTCCAAATTACGAACAACAGCCATGTAATCAGTTTGATTGTATTTCGAATTCAACCGTTGAATATGCATGAGCGTGCCTTGTAAGTGGGTCTTCAATTGCGTGCAGTGAATGAGAGCCGAATTTATTTGGATAACTTCCTCTGATGAATGCATTTTTCTTTTCGGTTTAATTTCGAGCGCTCTCTGTTTATATGAAGCAACAACAAAAAAAATGAAGACACAAACACGGAGACACCGGTGATTACAGTTGCGTTGCTCTAGTTCACCTTTATGAATTGACGAAAATGACAAGCGGCAATGTTGCTTGTTCTTGGCGTTGCCTTCTTGCGATTCCGAATTTAGTTAAAATGTCACTTATATTGAAAATCAAAATAACAAAAATAATAATAATAATATCACATATACATAAAAGTCAAGTGGTCGTGGCTAACATTTAATATTTTACGTCTTATTATGTATTCGGTTCACAGCACTTTTGAATTATTAATTTTTGAGTAAATCAACTACGTGGTATTTTTCGGAACAAAAAATAATCTTTTTCTCGTTGAAGTAAAAATGTTTCGATTTCAAACGTTTCGATGAACAATGTTGACTTCTTTCTGGTCAAGTTGGAAGTGAGTACATTTCACCAAATGGCAGAATATATACAGAATTTTTTTTTTGAGTGAGCAAACGCACATTTAGAACAGAATAGAACACGTAGCGAACAATGAAAATAAAAGTGCCAAAGAAGAGTATGGAATACTTTGTAACGCATCACTAACGAAATGGACGAAATCTTTCGACGCACAAATACATTGACACAGGCAAAGGTGTGTATTGTTTGTTGTCGTGCACTCTAAGGGCTCTCTTTCTTTCTTATCGGCTCAACCATATTCATGTTGTCCACCAGAACACACACACACATTGGCACAAACAATAGGAACAGAGCACACAGTTAGATACATGCATACTTGATCCATAGCAATGTTACCTTCTTTTCACATTCATATACAAACGTACATAAACACTTTTGGTAATTAAGAAAAGCATTTCTTTCTTCACATCTCTCATTTCATCTACTTCGTTATTTCTTTTTTTTTGTGCCTTCTCGTGTACTTTTTGAAGCACATAGAACCAAGATACCATTGTATTTGTCAATTTTTTTACGGTTTTACTGCTCCGAATTGAGTTTATGGCATTATTTCTGAATTTTTCTGCAATGGGAATTTCCCGAATAAACATTTGTTGCAAATTTCTTTTTGTTTCGCTCAGAATAGTAAACGAAAAGATAATCACGATGTCGAAGGAACATAACGCAAACGAGAAACATATCTTATGCTCACCGTACTAGTTGCATTACAAACCATGGCCGATTTTACTTGTTTATTCAAAACGAAAATATTTTAATTTTCCAAAACAATAAAGTTCGAAGTGCACCGAGTTCCATCCAGGTTGCCTTTTCTCAAAGATACAATGATTTGTTTTATTGATCGTTTTTTCGCTCTTGCCTTATTTTATGATTGCATTTCGAGCATGAGAATGTTGTGTGTCACCTGATTGAACATTTTTTTTCTTTGCCAACAATGAATTTGCATTTTAAAATAATTTGAAAGATTTGTTCAATGCAAAACATATGCGTGTGAAATGTTTCTCAAATAAAAATGCAAAAACAAAATATCATCAAAAAAAAAAAAACTATTTTGCAGTAAAATGACCGAAGAAATATTGAAAACAGCAATAAAAACTTGTCATGGGAACATTTTTGTTAGAATCATCGGCTGGTGTATGTTACAACAGTGGAATTGCACCAGCCGCAAACACTGCACTTGCTTTATTTGTATCAATTATTCACGAAGGCGATATGAAATCGTATGAATCACGAAACTTGCCTCATAATTACAAATGTGACTTTTGTCTCAACATTATGATCTCTTTGCTGACACAATAATTCAACGAAACCGAAGAAAATTTGTATTCAAGCCTATACAAAGAAAAATCACAGATCAGATACGGATGTTTACTATTGCATAGTCAATTTCTTCATGTAAAGTGTATTTCGCTGCCACAATTTTTTTAAAAATATGTTTTGTAAAGATGAATGAGAAATAAAAAGTCGAGTCGCGTAAAAATTTACAATGTCGACCTTAAATATAAACTATTACATTATTTCGTGTTTTTCTTGCTCGTTTTTGCACTGATTTTGGAATGAACATGTAACCGTAGTCCGAAGTGTAGATGTAAACGATGACTACTTTCAATTTAATGACAATCGATGAGATGATAAATTTGTAGTTGACGCAAAAACAGGTCAAAATGCATAAAGATGAATGTTTCGTGATGATTATTTAATGAAGACGGTAATTCTTTGAGTGGCGATGTTTTTCTTTTGCTCTGTGTCAGTCGAATTATAGTAGGTAATGAACTAATTTTGTGTCGAGCTTCACAGTGGGCGAGCACTTACAACAACTGTGTGAAGTTGTGTCATTAAAATAAAAGAAATAGCGAACACAGTGCCATTATTCCGATTACATATATGGTGGTTGTTACCCTTTCGTTATCCGGTAATATTTGAACTTTCGCTGATATTTGAGCGTCAGCGATTACATAACCACCGCACACCCAATTACACATGGTCAATGGATTGTGTGTATTCAGAATATTGTGAGTGTGAACCAAGCACCAAAATTCATTGAGAGAGAGAGAGAAAAAATAAACAAAAACAAACCTGTTGAAAAACATACATATATTTGAGATCGATGCGATAGTCGTGTATGATTGTTTGTGTGTCTGTTGTTGTTGTTGTTGTGATTGAAGAGAGAGGTTGATAAAGTAATTGGCTACGTAGATTGATGCGTTGATGTTTAAACACCATTCTATAAACCACGTTAAAACTGTCTAATCGTTCAATTTTCAATTCGACAGCCGACGAAAAAAAAGCAGAAATTCAACAAAATTACCATTCATTATAATTGATTATCGAAACATAATTACATGTAGTTCAGGTGTTTCATAAATAGCAAAGATGTTTTCATTTTCTATCAATAAACTCAAATAAAAACGGCAATGAAAGTTAAGCTGGAATATGTAAATTGATGCCACAAAATCGTTTCACTAAAAGGAAATTTCAATTGAATTATCGTTGAAAGTGAGCATAAAGAGCATGTTGCACACCGTTTGCATATCGCACAAATCAAATATGCAAAAGTTATTTATTTTTTCTTGTGAAAACGCAGCATTCACACACCGCTCGATTATGGCCGAAAAAAAGAGTATGCGTTGAATGTACCATAACGTCACATTAAAAGACCATTCGGGGGGAAAACGTGTGTTGCGATGAGCATACGTTCATCTCCTCAACCAAAATGGTAAAAGAGACGAAGGAAAAAAAAAGTCTCCATTTGACAGGCGACTACGTAATTTTTTTGTTTTTGTACGTTCCTTTCTCTTGGCCATCTGAAAGCGTCCGACAAAGTGCTGCTTGTTATTACATGTTTGTACTCGCATCTAAACATTCCCATAAGCAAAAACACAAAATGAATCGAGTGATTCGATAACATTATCGAATTTAAACGAAAGAAAAGAAATGCGAAACCAACAACAGCAACAACAATAATGTGGAGATGGTGCACAACGACATCGTGGTCTGGCCAAAACCAGAAATCAAAATTGATCGCGAGAGTGTTCAATGTTCATGCGCTTGGTAATATACTGAATGTAATGAAAAAAAAAAAAACTGTATGTGAAATTGGCAATTCGGTTATCGGCACATGAACACACACACAGAGTCATAATGCACAACATAAAGTTAGTGCGATTAGATTTTGTTTGAAAAAAAAAATGCATTTGCAGCTGCTGAATCAGTCCTTCCTTGTTTTATTTATGAATCTATTATTGGCCAGTCAAACCTATAAAGCGGTTTATATGCATCGAATTGTCGCACATGGCTGTGGAATCAAATCAGTTAAATATCAAAGAGCGAGAATAAATTAAGAAAGCAGAAAATAGAGAAGGCTTACACATGATACAACAACAAAATATTGGCAAAATAAAGATGCATCTTGTCGTCGTACGCTCGTGTTTTTTTTTGTCATATGTATAAATCGTGGGAAGACCGAATCTAGCGTGGTATTATTTTCACTCTTTCGCATTTAACAGTCGAGTATTAATGTTTTTGTTATAGTACCAAAGATAATTGCATGCTTTCCGCATAAAAGTTAACATTGGAAAAGACAATTCACCCAATGTGATGTTGTCACACACACATACACAAACGATTGTGTTGCATTGCACGAGAGTAAAAGTTCATTTCGAATCGGTGCAATGTATCAACACTGCATTTCGTATTACGATGATGTGGCCAGGAAGTGCAATGCACGCATATGATGATGCCATTTCTGGCTATAATTGCCAGCCTGCAAATAAAGACAAATCATATAAAACCAACAAAAAACGCGCTTTTTTACGGTGACAAAATTTTATTTTTTTTCTCTTCAATTCATAAAACACTTATTAACTAACAATCAAAAAAAAAAAAGTATAAAAATGATATATTTACAAATTGTTAAAGAAAATAACAATTATTCCATGTGAACAGCGCTGATTTCGCCATCAATATGTTCGAAAGTAGCAGTGTTGAATTGATGATGGTGGTGGTGTATTCATCAACATCGGCTTTTCAATCATTTGATGGATTTGCCAATTAGAGGATTCAATTTTAGTTAGATGTTGTTGGTGGTGTTGTTGTTTTCTTCTTCTTCGCTCAAATAAACACAGCAGGACTCCATATTTCACTCAATGTCGACGATGTTTTGCCGGTTCTATTGCTTTTTGCTAGAAACCAGTCATTTGAAAGATTTCATTGATCATCTCAACCCGTATATTTGTGTGCATATTTCAGATGATTATTGTTTTTTCTGGAATGTCCGTTAAGTGTTTATTTGACGATTTGATGTTCCGTTTACATTGTATTTCCTTTGCAATATTTCCAGTCCGTTTAAATTTTTGCGAATTCGTAGTCAGTTTTGGTGTGTATGAATGTGTCAATTTTTCTTAATTTCGTTTGTGAACTATGAATTTAAATAGTTGGTTGGTCTATTATTTTGAGTTTTTTCTTCTTCTTTTTTTTTCTAATGAAAAATTTGTTCCTAATTTCACAAATTGGTTATTTGACTACGGATCAAACTCCTTAGTATGGAGCTCCGTATGAACCGCTTGGAGCGGCTGGAGGAGCACCGTATGAACCACTTGGAGCTGATGGGCTACTGTATGATTGTGAAGGTGTACCATACGATTGTGATGGAGCTGAGAAGCTTGGAGCTGTTTTTGTGTGTAAAAGTGTAAAGCAACAAATTAGAAAAAAAAGTTCCCAATATTCATCAGAATGTTCAGAAATATTTATGCATCGAAAATGTTAATTTACCTGGACCTGCTGATGGAAGTGAGTATGATGGTGCTGGAGCTGAGTAAACTGGAGCTATATCAATCAAGAAAAAAAAATGAAAATTAATTATGTTTCTTATAATTTATTTTCTTTTTGTTCCGTTTTTGATCGATATATTTTTTTCGAAATTCGAAAGTATGTTGCAAATTGGTTTAACTACCTGGAGCTGCAGCTGGTGCAGAGTATGAGTATCCTGACGATGCTGGGGCAGATGATTGTTGGCTGAAGCTTGCTACTTGAATTGATGGGATTGTGTTTTCAAGTTGGATGGCAACAACACGGGCAGCTGGTGCTGATGGGACACCATATTGTGCTGCAGGTGCACCGTATTGGGAGCTTGGAGCTGAAGCTGATGATGATTGGCTTTCTTCACGCAACAAAATTTGACGAACTTGTTCCAACAATTGTGGATCGACGTTAGCACCTTCGTTTGATTGGTAACCACCACCGCTGCTACCACCGAATGAGCTTCCACCGAAACCGCTGCTTCCGAAACCGCTGCCACCACTGCTGCCACTGAAACCGCCAGACGATGGACGGTTATAGTTGTATGGCAATGGTGCTTCGGCTGCAACCAAAGTGACCATAGTGACGGCGAATAGCTACAGAAAACAAACGATCAAATAAACCAGTTCAAAATGAAACACACAATGTCATAACGAAAATGTTTGAATGAAATGAGAAAAAGAAATTCTCGAAGAAAGTTTATAACGACATGTTCGAAAGAAGATGATGAAAAAAATAAGCACACGAATTTTGCGAGATTAGTTAATATTTTGTGATGACATTAAGAAAAATATTCACTTTCGAAAATGTGCACGAAAAAAAACTAATACAACAAACACGGTCACAAACAGCATGTTTATTTCCTCGATTTGAAAATGTCGCGACGCGACCCAAGATCGTTGACTGAAATTCTTATGGTAATCCAATGAGTTTATCGGTTTGTAAATCGATTTGCATTTGAGTCGCTACACGAATATCCATATGGCGATGTCACAGATATAAACATCGTTTCAATATTCCCGATTTTTATAAAAAAAATTATTATCAAACGTCGTTGTCGTTGACGATTTAGTGGAACGCGAGACGATCACAGAATGAAAACTTTTACTTTTGACTTTCGCGATTCGCAGGCACATTTCAATTTTGATCACAGATTAAATATATGTGCATATGATTTTTTTGCTATCAATAACTTTTTGCTCTTTGGCCAATTTTATGCTTAATAGAATTTTCACTGAAGATTAAAACCACTGATGCCATTTTTATAAATTCCCGTGTATTCGCTACTTTTCTCTCTCTTCGCTTTTGACGATTATATGAAACCGAATAAAATACTTTTGTTTTTCTAACGACCAAAGTCGTTTCTGTTTGTCACTTACCACTGCGAATTTGTTCATTTTGCTTAGATTTTTTTGATGTTTCCACACGGAAGACTTGTGACTGAGTGTGCCTTTTCCAGCCGCGACGCGACTCTTTATAGCAAATCCTCGCGGTATGGTGGAAGGTGAATTTTTCGTTTTTCTTCTCTCTTCGTTTTGGCTTCTTCGTTTTTTTTTTAAATTCACTTTTCTTTCGCGCTCCATTCCGTTCGTGTAAATAAATGTGACCATTTCAGCAAGACCTTCCATTCGATTTCAACGGTGCCCGTTTTTTTTCTCCATATTTTTTTTCTTCTCCAACGTTGCTCATCGTTGAAATCAATACTGCACACAAAGCGCGAACCGTGGAGAGAACCGAAAAAAAAACCAAAACAATAACAACAACATAGAGTCACAAATGCAACTATCGAATCGTACAGTTCGATCTGCAAGCGGCTAAAACAAATAAGAAATGAATATGAAGAGATAGAGAGAGAAAGAGAAAATAGCAGTTATATGTGATGGCGGAGCATCATGTGTATGCGCGCGCGCGATGTGAGAAAAGAAAAGGTGAAAAAGCATTTAAACCAAATGAAAAATGGCATGCGAAATCAAATAAATGGAAATAAAAGCGAAAAAAAATTGAAGTGTTTTTTTTATAATTCAATACAAAAATGGTTTGGCACCTCTGTCTTAATATAGCGTCTTCATCAAGTTTTCGCTCCAACTTTGATCGAAAATGCCCAAAAATAGCACGGGGAAACAATGGCCCAAAGGTGCATATAGTGTTGACGTGAAGTTGGTTGCGCTCATCAACTGCGCGCTGTTCTTTGTTGATTTTCTCCGTAAATTACGCAGTCACCGTGTCATAAGGCATTAATTGCACAGTAATATGTGAAAACTATTTCCATAATTTTGCGATGTGCATTTTTACTCAATCTTCGTCGTCTTCGTCATTAAGATCAACATCAACTTCAATATTGCCAATGCCGATCGCATATTTTATGTACAATGCGCATAAAGCATTATGTATTTGTTGATGGCTCTATGCCAGTGTGTGTGTGTGCATCGTTCCCATTGTAGTTGTATAGAAGTTGGCGTTTTATTGCTGCTAATATGGTTTAAAACACATTATTATCGCCGTTCTTCGTGAAAAAAAAGACGTGTCCCGTGGTGTGGGCTTTCATTATGACAATGCGTGATGCACGATATGAAGTTATGCATCAAGCAATTTTATTCATTAGCTCAACCATATAGTTGGCTGGTTGCCACGTAAATGAAGCCAACGTTTTATGTGCCTCTTTGAATGACTATTGACGATTATGTAATGTGTAACGCTTCGGCAGAGAGACAAAGATGCATTTGTGTGATTCATTTATAGAAAGAATATTCGATTACTTCAGATTCGATATTGATAGATTAAATTGGGGCGATTAAATCAAGAGGTTCAAATAATTACGCACAACAAATGAGCAACGTTTTCATGGCTCTGATTAATTGAATGTCATTAATATTTGGCGTACATTTTCGAAATCATATAATTTTGTTTTTCTTTTGAAAATGCAAATGAAGAAATATATGATTGGGAAACAATGTGGAAGCGGATCTTAGCACATAAGATATTTCGTTCATCATGCAACCATAAATTGTGTTATGAAAATAGAAAGAAATGAGATCTTGGAATCATAAAGTTGGTATGTTTATTCAAACCGCGTGCAACGCATTTCGAAATTGAATTCAAAACATTCAATTGAAAACAATTGATGTTGCAATCTTTCGGATGAGTTATTGTATTCTAATGAAGAAAATGTATTCTTCAACGATTGCGAAAAGTGGCAGAATTAAAGAGAATGTGGGCAATGATGTTGGATTATATTTCTTTTTTTTTTGGTGATTGCATGATTTCGAAATAATTTCTGGTATACTGTTGTTTTTTTTCTACCTAATTTTATTGGGATCTCGACATCTCCATTGATAACATAAAGTTCAAAAATGGATAAAATGAATTGTATTCATATATATTCAACATTTTCTATAATAATTTTCGCTTGTGTTGTCATAAAATGTTCAAACTGCTTTCAAATTGGTAATAATCAGTTCATAAAATGTATACGCTTACGACTGCAGTTTTGGCGAATTGGCATAACAAAATAAAATGAATGCCATTTTAATAGACTCTTTCTCTTAGATGATATATTCGTGTATGCGAAGCAGAGGTGAAATGGTAACATTTGGTGAAGTGATTAGCATAAAAATCATGTTGGGTGATGGTTCAAGGCTGATATCTGTGTTTTATGATCTTACTAAAAGTGAACAGTGGCCATAAAATGTAAAAATTTCGTAAAAGTATTAGATGTTGACAAAGATGCTGAATTGAGAGTACACTTTTTTGTCTTTTAATCTAAATTTAAACAAACAAAAAATGAACGTTTTTTTATTGGTTAGTTTTTGTTGATCTTTCTCTGATATGCAATAAAATTTATTATTTGTCAATCGTCATTTGCATTTTCGGTCCAGAAAAAACATACATCTTAAACCTTGCATTGAAACATGAAAAAAAGATGCAAATAATATGCAAAATAGTATATTTGAACTTTGCACAAAGTTCCGATTTGGGTTAGTGTTTTTGGGACAGAGTTCATTGGAAAAATGTATTGTTTGTCAGCGGATGTTTTACCCACAAAACCAGGCATAACAAGAACAATTTCTTCAAATTTGCATTGTAATGCTTCGTCTCTCAAGTACAAGAAAGAGAGAGATAGAGAGAAAGGACAAGCATAATATTTGAAAGGACACATAGGGCAATAAAATTCGTTAAAACTTCAATGGTAAATTTTTGTTTCATATTTCATTTTATTGTTATCCAAACCTGAATGACTTATTTGTGTTTGCTTATGTATTTCGGTTCGGTTTTTTGCAGACATAATTTGCATATTAATCCAAAATTGGGTGATAGAAAAACAAAAGCACTGAAACTGACAAAAAACCGAAGAAAAGGAGATGCATTAAGAGGATTTACGTATCGATAGTAAATTTATTGAAAAAAACCTTATATTTCAAAGTTGTATGAGAATATATGAGAACCCATTGAAAATCGTCTTTCATGCATGCACTTACACCTTGATTGGTCATAAAAGTATTTTCAATAGAATCAAATCATGCCAAACTATTGTTCATAAAATGGGCCCTTTTTTCTTTAAGATTTTCAAAAGATCATTGAATGAATATCTGAAAAGTGTTGAATGCAATGAAAATAAAGTAAAAAACTTAACTACAAAATGAATAAAACAATAATTTCGTTGCTTTATAGTTTGGACTCTCGTTAAAAATCCATAAAACGAAATGTTGATTCAAGCAGTTGTATGTATGTTTCATTAGTTTTTTCCATCTGCATCTTCTGCTTTTCAAGTGATAATTTGCCATTCATTTTCCGCCTTTTTGCAATTAAATTCACCTCTAACCAAAAGCAATCTCACTTTTTTCTCGCCATCGATCAGACGCCAAATGGAAAAATTTTCTCAACATAACGCGACCTTTTTTTCGTTATTTCTATCCCCATCAAATTTCCTTCGGCTGTGCAAGAAAGAAAAAACCCGTTGACTTATTGATATAAAATACAGGTCAGAAACAAATATCAGAATATGCAATACATATATGCAATGTGTCGACAATGGTTTGTTTACTTTGGCTTAAGCGAAACAAATGTAATAAAAATTAAGTTGAAATTGCATTTGCATGCACTATCTTTATTAGCAATCGCATTGATTGGGAGTTTCTTTGCGATGTTATCTAGTCGGTTATAACGTCAGGCCTATTTGAATATATTATGTTTTACATAGTTTCTTTGTTATTGGCACCTTACACCTCACATGGCTCTTCGTTCGACTGATAATTTCTACTGTTACGTTTCTTTTGAATATTCGCCGCTTTTTTTACATTTTGCACTGCATATATTTTGTTCAGGTGATGAATGAAAAAAAAAAAAAAAACTAAAGTAATTTCAATTGCAGTTTCGTGCAAGTCGGCATTTAAATCTTTTCTCTGTCATAAAAATATTTGAAATGTGAAAAAAGAAGAAACAATCAGCAAATAGGTCAAAAGTTCAGTTCGAGTTAAAAATATTGTGTCTTTTTTTCTAAGCGTACTTCAATGTTTATTTTAAGCATTTTTTTCAACGAATCGCCCGATATTTGCCGTTCATTTGGTCGTATTAATTTTTACTCCATTTGTTTTGGTTAGATATTTAAATAGGCAGCTCTGGCTAATACATTGAACCATGTTTTTGTGTATGCACAGCGCCATAGGAAAGGGCTTAGACGGAGTTAGTATCAATGACCAAATGTGGAACAATGGAACTGTTGTGTGTGTGTGTGTGTGTGTGTGTTAAATTTAAATGTTAGTTCTGTCCATTAGTGGATGGCGTTTAACTTTCGTTAATTGCATGCGTTTAAAAGAAGATGAAAAGCGAATGTTTAATCAATTGATTAGAAACAATTGCACGATTTTTCATTGTCTGAAAAATCTGTGAGTGTCAGCGCTACACACTTTTCTTTTAGTATTTTGTAACCTCTGTGCTCGCGTCCATCATGCACCTACATAAACAATCATCAGTGCACCGTCACATTGTTGTTATTGCTTTTTCTTCTCTCTCTCGGATTTAACTGAAAATTGGATATTCGCATTCACACAACAAAGTGAAGGGACCCCCATAAAAACAATATCAACAACAACAACAACAGCATCGCAATGAAAACAAAAACTGAATCCAAACGCGATCTGCTTTTAAGACGATCACTTTTTTATACACTCTTTGTAATTCCATAATATGATGTTACGTGCACAAATTAGATTTCGGTTTCATTCTGCTTTTCTTCCATTTGGTGTGTGTGTGTGCGCTCACGTTGGGAAAAAGTACGTCGTCGACATTGTTTATTTGTTGTATACACTTCTGTGGCGTTCGGCGCGCTCCAGAAGTCTCATCACAAGTGAAAATGCAAGACAAAGACTTAAGTGAATAGTTAACCTACGTTGGCAATTAAATAAATTTTTATGTAAATCATGCCAAATTTAATTATAAATCACCAGCGCAGCGCACCTCATCCTCAGCATGCTTCACTT